TAGATAGATAGATAGATAGAGATAGGATAGATAGGATAGTAGTATGATAGATATATAGATATAGATAGATAGATAGATAGATACTAGATAGATAGATATAGATAGATAGATAGATAGATAGATAGATAGATAGATAGATAGATAGATAGATAGATAGATATGTAATAACAAATTCATCCAAACACTTTCAACAGACGCAATAAAGACAACAGAACATTAAATCTGCAACGTTTTTCTTTCTTCTTTACCTGAGTATTATTCAAGCGCTTTGAGTGAAGGTGTGCCGCGATTTTTTTTAGCCCCACAAAGGTGCAGCGGGGAAAAAAAGTTTGAGAACCCCTGAAGTAACCTGTTGTCCAGTGCGTGTGTGTATGTGTTTGTGTGTGTGTGTGTGTGTGGGAGGGGAGGGGGGTGGAGGGCGGGGGTCAAGAGTTCTGTTCTTTTATATATTCTGTAGAATGGTCTAATTGCATTCTGTTTGTACTTCTGCACAATGCATTAGGGGTGAGTGCGTATATAGCACTTAATGTCGCCGATACACTACATGGCAGTTAGGGGTTGCAAAGAATTCTATCACGGCACACTACTAATCAGAAGCACCGTTGTGTAGGGGCTAGACTCTCGCCTGCGGATCGGAACGTCCTGACGGAGCCGGACTATGTTTCAGAAATGACCTTGACTCCCAGGCCGCCCCAGCCTCAAATGGATACCAGGTAAAGTCATGAGAAGTAAATAAAGATGGCTGGCGAGATGCTCACCACATCACCCACCGAGTGCCTATTGGTATATAAAATATACGTCTAGCCCTACGTGACCAGTAAGCCTGAAAAGGGCGACAAAATGTCCTTTACCTTATTATTACAATACTAAGCATCTCCTAGATGGACCAATGATATTGTTGATTTTGGAGTGGGTTATCTCACCCCTAAAGGATGCAGCCAACAAACTATGAACAAGTCTAAAAAAGAAATAAGAATGATTCGAACAATCAAGATTTTTTTTAAAGTTGGGAGAGGGGGGGGGGGGGGCTGGAAGGGAGGGTCTTCTCATAACAGATCTTTGAACGTATACAGTGGTCACTGACACTGACATGAGGCTCTAGATGGTCGACATTCTTTCTTTTATCTAGGATGTAAGAACTACGAAGAACCATAGAGGTGGTAAGACAAACATACTGTTGTGAAGAAATTACCTCAGTGATTGTAGAATTTATTTTATGAAATAATTTCTTTCTTTGATATGGAACAAAAGAATTGTAAGGCCCACTGCAAGAGGCCAAAACTATTAAAGCCGGGGTGATAGAAACACTGAAATGGGATATAACTCTTGTAGAACGTTTATCAGATTTGTAGCAGACGTGAATGGATGAATGATATGTATGTACTCTTTACTGTATATTTCAGTACGATATATATTCTAAGTCAGACAGAACCTATCTCATTTCTTGAAACATAATCCTGCAAACTCAGTTCACACACTGGATCTTCACCGCATAATTTGATACAGTAGATAGCTTGCTATGTATGTGACATGTCAGTTTATTATTTATGTTTATTAATATTAATTTATAAATAATAATTTGAAATTATTTTACTAGTTAAAATTTAACTTAAATTAACTTAACCATTTAACTTAAATGGTTTTTCTTCAGAAATCACACAATGATGGCTCCTAAAGCTCCATAGCTCACATAATAAGGCATGCGTAGCGTATCTGGAGGGGGGGGGGGGGGGGGGGAGGTTGGAAGGGAGTAAGTCAACCAAGTGTGCCTCCACACTGTTCACTAGCTCCCAAAGGGCCCTTACAATATCTAGATTGTCCTACATCAGTTTTACTTTTACCACCAAGTGGTGCAGAACAGGCCATTCTATCCGTCTGCTCATTTCCCAAAACACCTGCATGACCGGGAACACAAATATTCTAATGATACTAACCATGTCCATTGCTGCCATAATTTTGAGAGCATTGAGTCCTTTTTGGTATTTTAACTATTGAAAATGATACCCTGGTACCCCAATTTGCTTTTCCTTTTGATGTTACTGTTAGTAATCATATAGCTAATGTTCGTTTGGAACATCAGCTCTTACAATTCTATTGTCCAGAAAGCACTACAAAACAGCCGCCTTTTCTGAGTTGATAACAGTACCTATTTCTGCGCACCAGTCATTCACTTTGTCTACAGTTGCCTGTAACTCTTGGGCATATGTTGCCTATTATTTCCCTACTGCTATACAAGAACATCATCTGCAAATGTAAAATTGCAAAACCATCTCGGGGTGATATTACATTGTTCTGATGCTGGATGACTGCTATCCAGTTCACAAGCCAGGGACAAACCCCCTTCTATGAGCGCAGATATCAAAATATAATATCTGACTCTATTGTAGGCATCCTCAAGATCAAGTGCTGCCACAACCATCTTCTGTCTGTTCTGGAACCCCTCATAAACATCAAAAGAAAAAAACTGCTTTATTTGACCAGTGATCTTTCCGTGGCCAACAACTACCCAAACTTTTTGGCAGGAGCTCTTCCCTTTCAAAAAAACATTTGTAGTTTAACAGCAACAATCTTCTCTTGCACCTTGCCAAAAGTATAGGGTGATAATCCTGAAACCACTGAGTCTGGAATGATCTTTGCCTTTTTTTTTGGAAATGGGATTAGGCAGCTATGTACCAAATTCTATGGTATTAAAGCTGTTCTGATACTTTAGTTGAAGTGAAAAGCCATCTTCCTCAAGTCTTCATCACTCATGCTCTTCATGTGGGTATACATAACTATCTCTGGCCCTGGCGCAGTGTCTTTTGCTTTTTGCAGTTTATATTTCACATTAGAAAATGTTGTATGTACTTTCTTATACTTACTAATCCTACTTGTTTTTGATAATTTCAGGATAAAAACGATGCAGATGGTGAATTCCTTCATTTAAGATAACGTAAACTGTACCTTTAATACTTAACTATTCCTGCTTGCTTTTGACAATTTCAGGTTGAAAAAGATGCATTAATATACTTCAATTATTGTTACAAGCAGCTTCACTACTCACTAATGCTGCATACTTTTGATGTGAACCTTCTGATACTTACTAACCGTGCTAGCTTTTGGTGATAATTACAGGGTGAAAATGATGCAGATGGTTGATTCATTCACTTTAGAAAATGTGACAAGTAGCCATGTACTTACGAATCCTGCCTTTTTTTTTAAAAATTTTTTAAAATTTACACCTTCTGATACTTTTTAATTGAGCTTGCTTTCGGTGATCACTTCAGGTTGAAAATGATGCAGATGGTGACTTCATTGGTGTGACACAGGTTGGGCGCTTTGATGCTAAAGGTTCGGGTGTTGCAACTGTTTCATTCACAATAAAAGATGATGACATTCCTGAAGGACCAGAAATATTCTACCTGCGTCTGTATACATTAGATGGGAGTGTCTTTGTAGGTACTCCAGATCAGCTGCCAATCACTATCAGAGCTAATGATAATGCATATGGAGTTTTTAGCATTGACGAGGTAATTTTCATACTTTATTAAATTGTATTTTTGCCTTTACTATAGATTATGATTAACACTTTCCATACCAGAAGATTTGAAGACAAAAATCACAAGTGGGTAAAATAATAAATACTAAAAAAAAAGATACTAAGCGCAGTGAATATGATCACTTGAGTTGTCAAATTTCTTTAGCATGCTCGGACCACATTTTAAATGTAAGAGAAAACATAATTTGCATTGTTTGGGACTGAAAGAGTTAACTGTTTATTCCCAGACAGTTGTAACGTTGGTAGTTACTGTCCTGTATTTTTTTCTACATTAGAGAAAGTCTTAAGCATTTTTGGAAAAGAAAGAATTAAAATACCCATTTTAAAAAGAATGGATTATCATTACAGATTAACAAAAACAAGAACAAAACTTCTCTGTCTAGGCCAAAAGCCATGTCTCTAATTCAGAAATAGAGTTATGGTTGTTTCGAATACCATAAAGTAGATTTTTCATGTTTCAAAAAAGAAGAAAAAAAAAAGATATTGATTTCAGTGCACTGGTTTTTATCCTATGTGGCTTGGCTTCTCTCCACAAAGCAACTTGTTGCCAATAAGGGTGCCAGTAGGGGTGTTGCATTGCACAAAGCACACACACTTCATACTGCAGCAATGACTCCAGGGATCTCCAAACGGCACGCACTCACAAAATCAATAACACAGTCTAAAATCAAAAACATAGCGCTCAGAACATGAACCAGGTGGCTTAAGCACTATGGAGATCCCCTTCTTCATGTTTATGAATGAAAAAGCCAAACAGTACCAAAGCTTCTTCCTGTATCTCTGTGTTGGATTCTTGTTGTTGTTTCTAAGAAACCACAGTGTATTCTTCAGTTTGTCTGGTTTTTGTTTACAGTCCCAGATATAAGCAAAAAAAAAAAAAAAAAAAAAAATCCCCCTCAGAAAGGAGTTTGAACACATGACCAGCAGGTTAGCAGGCAGGCAAGCTCTACTGAAACTCCCCAGCTCATACTGATGGAACAAATATAGTCCTGATACTTGATATTTAACCTGAGACACTGTAAAAGGAAACTTAAAGGAAAGATCGACTAAGGAATGATGATAGGAGGAGAGTCGGCACAGAACCAGTACTGAACTATATCATTGGACAACAGATCAAATAGTTTAGTCATGTAACAAGACTGGCAACAGAGAGCAATGTTGTACAGATAAATTGGTAACATAGCCAGAGATCAACCACATAGAAGATGAACGTTCAAATATCAAAGACACTGAAAGGTAGTATATACAAAGTGAACAAAAAGAACCTTTCCAGGGATCTCTTCCTGCCTTGACACTTGCAAGGCATTCTAAGGGTAGACAGAAGAAAAAGACTGATTTGATTACGAAACACTAATCAGTATGTCAGTATGTCTTGATGGTTATTACTGAATTATTATGTCATTACTGTTAATTAAGTTTTATTTTTGAACACTGAAGTTAATTATCTGTAATATTTTGACAGGTTTCTCCAAAGTTAGTTCAAGAGTACTCCTACACTTATGTGGTTCCAATCAAAATCAAGAGAGAAGTATCTTACTATGACACTGTGTACATTAATTTTATGGTATGTTGCAGTGACTGTAAAAGTATATGTGTGCTTGTAGTAATGACATACAAACATACTGGATTTACTGTTTTTGATAGAATTCTTCTTATTCACTCGCTGTGAACTCCAAGTCATTGTATTATATGCTATCGAGTTTGGCACAACCTATGCCCGTTCCATGTTTTTAATCTCGTTCTCAAATTTTTTTCTGCGTGTTTTTTCTTTAGTATTCTTATATTCTTTTGACCCTGTGGGTTTTAGTTATAATGTTATCCTGTTTTCTGAATGTGTGCTTCATCCTCACCTCTTAATTCACGCAGGGAGAGACCTGCCTCACAGAGTGACCATATATTTTTGTTTTGTTTTGAATTTGCTTTATTAAACAATTTGTTATTTGTTCATCTAAACCCTCTTGATAATAACAACACAAATTTAAAGAAGAGCATTTATCTAAAATGACATACATAATTTTAACAACTCATGATGATTTTCAAGTGCCTTTCCAGCTGATGTGGTTGATTATGCCTCTTCGCAACCTGTGTGATCTTGAACACCCTGTATCGGTTTATGTGCACCCCACCATGTCATAACAAAAGGCTGTCAGTAATCTTTTAGCATTGTCTTCCTCTATCTCTTTTTCTACAGATATTTCCTGTTGTCACATGTTTCAGTTTCTTTTTTTTCCTTCTTTCTATTTTTAATATGGCCAAAAAATGATGACTGTTTCTTTCTGCTGTTTGTGATTTTTTTTTTTAAACATCTGAGTTACTGATTTTGGCTGTCCAAGGAATTTTAAGAATTCTTCTGTACAAACCACATCTCTGAGACCTCAAGAAATTGTTTGGCTTGTTTATTAATTGTCTACGATTCACAGCCAGATATTAAAATTGATTACATTATCCATCAAGTTCTTACTGGCCTAAAATGTGAGGGCAGGCCTCATATTCTTTACATGTCCCTTGACATGAAAATGGAATCCCTAACTGAACTGTAACTTAGAGAACGACTGAACAAACTTTATTTTCAAAGGGTCACAAATTGGACACGCTGGCCTATCTTACATTCAGCCCTTCCGAACACTAATCTTTCATTCAGCAATTGTATTTATAAAACATGTTATGTTCATGTAACAATATACACAACATGAATATCATGGAAAATACACAAAGGCATGGGTGATAAGTGCATACATAAATACATAACTGCATACAAATATATATTTACATGTGTGTGCGTATGCATACACACAAAGATACATACATAATACATACTTAAATACACACACTCACACACATTTATACACATACTCATATACATTCATGCATAAACTATAATACGTAAATTTATTCTCTCACTAAATGCATCAAAAATAACTTGCCTAACCTTAATCTTTGCGCCAATGATACGGGTGTTCTAGGCAATGAGCATACAGAATATTTGACAGACAAGACAGTTACTACGACTAGCCCAGCACTGGCCAGAACTGATGTTATTAATGCCATATAAGCTGCATATCACAGAGAAGATCACGACAACAGGCAGGAATCAGTATTTTATGTCCAGGTGACTGGACATGGGAGTGGAACCTGGAGTAGCCAGATATAAACATTTCACCAAGGGTACAAGGCGTTTGGTTAATCAACACAGAATGGGAGAGATCAGTTGTTTTACTCTTGTGGAGCTACTGAGGAGGAGATTCTATGGATCCTTGTGGGGTGCTGTGCTGATAGGCCTCACTATTCACTAATCACTGTCAGACATACACACACATGCATACCCAGTCACACTGACACATGCCCATACACACACTCATTATATATCCACACACACATGTATTCATACACACAGAGCTGTGTAGATATGTGTAATAAATATAATATATAAACAATCTTAACTTATTAAATAGTTTTTGAGAATGAGCATTTTTAGGGTATATATGAGGTGTGACGATGAACGCTTGTTGAATAGATGATTTACATTTATATTTTACTAAGTTCTTCCAAAAAATATTTTAATTTCAAATAGTTCACTATACACAAGTGTGACTTTTTAGTCTATTTCAATATAATATTTCATTGTACCAACAATGTAGGTGAACTCCAGCTCTCCTAATACAGTAATTGGTGTTGATGTTTTACCTGCTGTTGGCTCAGTAACCTTTCAGCCAGAGCAAAAGGAAGCAAATATTGAGCTCCAGATACTTGCAGATGATGTGAGTAAGGATTTTTTACTATTACAGTTCCTTTAATCCTGTTATACACAGCATATTCATTCCCACTCTGCGCTGTCAGTGCCAGTTGTGGTCGACAACAAGCTATAAACAAAAATTAGAAACCACTGAGATATCTTTAAAGGGCCGAAGGAGAGACCAGAATAGATGACATCAAAAGTGAGGTCATAAGAGAAATTATGAATTAGACAAAGACAGCAAATCAAAGGTTCCCCCACTTAGAATATCTTGTGATGCCATACCATACAATGTATGTACCAAAAGAGGAGAAGGAGGCAGAAAACAAGAGAGACCAATAACAACATGAAAAGGTAACATCAGAGACACTCTACAGCAACAAGAGTCTCTATGGTGGAGGCGACCAGAAAAGCAAGAAGAAGAACCTTAAATCTCCCTAGACACCCAAAAGGGTAAAAGAGTACGTAAAGAAGAAGACAGTTCCTACAGTTTTTTTGGGGTGATATCAGAACTAGTATGAATATTGGACACGTTATGTTTTTTTTTCTGTGCTTCTTTTGCATTCACCCTTGAAAAGCAGTTGATATATTTTGTTGTTGCTCAAGCAGAGCAGATGTTTCCTTGAAAAGTTGTGCTTTTACCAACTGCAGTGTCTGAAAAGATTCTGGTACTCACTTTGAGTCACAAGGAAAGCATCATACGTTCATAGATTCCTACCTAGAAGCCCAATAAACGCAAGGTGCACTGATTTTACTTCTCTCTTGACCACCCCTTGGGCCTGTGATGCTAAACTCCCTGGGACTCAAAGTGTTAAAAGGGACTGGCACTCACCTTATAGTATCTGTTACACTAATGCTGAAAGAAATAATTCTATGACTGCTGGCATACAGTTCCCACCTCAGTAAGCAGGCAGGATAATAACCTACCCTGCCCCTATGACTTCATGAAAAGAGTAAAACTGGAACATAGAGTAGCAATTGCTAATAAAAATTAAATTTGAGAAAAAAAAACACACACACACACACTCACTCACACAAACACACACAGAAGAAGAAGAAGAAGAAGAGAGAAAGAGAGAGAACAAGAGAGAGAGAGAAAGAAAGATGACTTTACTCTTTCTGTTACAGAATAACACAGCTAATACCTGAGTAATGCAGTAAAGGCAGCAACAAACTTATAAGTGTACTACATCCACAGAAATAAATACCAAATACACAGCAGATTGTAGACAAAAATCTGTTGTGAAGTAGTAGAGTATGCCTTGATTAATGTACAATGTACAAACATCCACAGTATGTTTACTGATGCACAAAAGTACTGTTCAGTCATAAACAGTGCATTGTTTAGTATTGAAAGAGTTGAGTAGATATTTTAGTTTTGAAAGAGTTAAGACAAAGTAGATATGAATACTCTCACTTTATGACGCAGAAAGTATTCCTGTGTGAGTTAAACATTTACACTTTAGAACAGTTGATTTGGAGATGTAGTGTGTCTCAGTTTAGTTGGTGAAGAAATGTAAGTGATAGAGATAACCAATAAGACATTAGTGATGTAAAAATATTTTGTTTCTAGTATTTCTGACATTTAAATATACTGTGTTTAAAAAAAGAAAATGTATGAGACAGTATGCTTTCCAAAATTTCTTAAAGTTTAAAATGGGGGTCATCTTATTGATTAATGTGTTTAAAATGTTTTCTCAATGTTGGGCTTGAAAATTTGGGGTGTCTTATACATGAGGATGTCCTTATACACTGAAAGGTAAGGTACTTAACTCTTTTAAGCACAGAAAGGTCTTACAGAAAATACAAAATAGGGGAAATAATCACACTGAACAACTATATAGTTTTTTTTCAGGAAGGCAAGATGCACAGCAACAACAAGAACGAATTACATCCTCATGTGGTCTTCAGGGCCTAATTTCTTTTTTTTTGGGGGGAAAAAAAAGAACTGAAACGCTGTGGCCCTAACAAGCATGTTGTAAGAGTGGACTAATTAGGTGTTTGCTAAAACCAGATGGGCTGAGCTCAAAGGCACTGATGCTGCAGTCTAGCTGTAAATCACAATACAGTGTGCCAACAAAGAAGAAGAAGCAGAAGATCAACTTTCCTTTGAAGTAGGAGTGGATCTGCCTGAGAGGTATGGAACCAACAGTTCTGCATACAAATAAGCCAGATCTGTAAAACAGATATGCATGCAAAACTCATGTTCTGGAAGAAGACTAAAGTCCAGAAGTGGTCAGACAGCCAGAACGTTTTGCCAGAGTTTACAGCCAGTGAGTATAAAGAAGAAGAATTGTCAACTAAAGACAAGAACTTTTAAAGTAAAATAGTGTTACAATTTAAAAGAAAAAATTATAAAAAATATGTTGGAGCAAAAAGTTGAAGGCAGAGAGCAAGAAAAGTAGTTTATATTGAAATAGAAAACATTAGAATTAAATTATGGGCACATAGCAGTCTGAGAGAATGTTCAACTAGAGCAAGAGACAGTGTTTGGGAATCCAATGTTTAACTGAGATGCACAGTGGAAGTGGTCACTGGGAAAGCCAGATTTTTTTTAACAATCTCTGACCAACAAAAAACAAAAAAGAGGATACAAAATAAAATTGGTTGGGAGTCATTGAAATAGCCTTAAAAGTTCTTGGAACTGAAAGAGTTAATTGATTGATTGATATTACTGTTTCAGTTGTGTTAGGTTATCTGGTGGCCAATAATTAGGAAATTATGTACTATTCTTTCCTATTCTGTGATATATACTATGATATACTATAATACTTTTCAAAATTTTCTAATCAGATCCCAGAAAACAACGAAAGCTTCTTTGTTTATTTAACTTCTACATCTTTTAACGAAGCCCGTATTATACCATCAGTGCTTGAAATTATCATCACTCCTAATGATGCACCTGTCCACTTTACTAAGGTAAGTTAATATTTTTGAATGCAACATGTACGTCTTATGTCTGTGCCTGTGTGCGTGTGGTCTGGGAGGTATTTGTTTTTCTTTTAAATATTCTAAAGTTAGAAGAGTTTCTTTGCTGTCATTGATAAACAGATATGATATGCTAGGCCTTCATATATGCTGGGTAATATTGTTATGAAGTAGAATGAGCAGTTCCTTTCCTCACTATATCTGTCCTATGATATATGGTTAACCTCTGGTAAAAACAATCTTTCCGTTTCTAGAGCAGAATTCTAGAGTACTTTGCAAGTGTACTGTCTGCAACCTGTTATAATTCTTGAGAGACTAACTTAATTGTTTACATCCTTAGCCACAAACTTTTGAGACTCAGTATAGGTCCATTGCAGCCAGCTTTCACTGTGGAGATGGCACCTGATTGATTGATAAAGGGCCCGACACGAGTTGGTTGAGGGCCAATGCTCCACTGAAAAATGAAAGGCAGAAGAAATATTTATAATTGTTAAACTGACAACTTGCCCGTTTTTTGTTATAAATTGTTTTAAAGGTTTTTATGACAAAGAATTTTTTTTAAAAGTTATGTAAATATGCATTTTACTTTGCAGTTATACATCATGCCTAACATATATTGTGATTTTTTTTTTTTTAGACAGAGTATAGATTTGAAGAGGGACCAGGTACCAAATCTGTTGTTGTCGATGTCACTCGAGGTGTCCTCAATGATGGAACTACAAGGATTGGTCCCATTGATGGAGACGTGTATGTGGATTACAACTTCATCTCTGCTTCAACTGCAATTAATGAAGATTTTGTGGCAACAAATGGCACTCTCACTTTTTCCTCTCAGGAGATTACAAAAGCAATATCTTTTGTAATTAATGATGATTCAGTTCCTGAGCAGGAGGAATACTTCTCACTGAGGCTGTTAAATCTCAGAGTAAGATGTTTTGCTTTATTGTGACATAAATTCAATTTTACTAAAGGTTTGTGGATTTAAAAAAAAAAAAAAAGAACTAATTTTAAACTAGTACAACTAGCCTATTTGTCTGTGAAGTAATGTGATTTTTAAAAAAAATCAACACTCTTTCTTTTCCTCCTTACATCATCATCATCATCAGTAATACCATCAATGTGATTGTCACTGTCATGATATCCATTATCATTAGCATCCATTGTCATTCTCATCATCATCAGTAATACCATCAGTGTGATTGTCACTGTCATGATATCCATTATCATCCATTGTCATTCTCATCATCATCAGTAATACCATCAGTGTGATTGTCACTGTCATGATATTCATTATCACTAGCATCCATTGTCATTCTCATCATCATCAGTAATACCGTCAGTGTGATTGTCACTGTCATGATATCCATTATCATTAGCATCCATTATCATTCTCATCATCATCAGTAAAACACACACATAAATACACACACGTCCACAAATAGTAGACAGACAGATAGAATAAATGAACGAATGAACGAAAGAACACAGTTTAATTTCAAAGGGTTAAGAATTGGCATGCAGACCTGTCTAACATTCTGCCCTTCCAATCCACTCCTTGCGTTCATTTATTCATTCGTACATCATTTCATAGTTCATCATGTAGCATATCCTTTGCAGAGCGTCACTGTCATCACGGTCTGTCTGAAAGAAACTCTGTCTCTCATCAGCTATCCCGCCTCATGTACTTTCATATTCAGGGAGTCACATCATACGCCTAGTTTCGTGTTGGTCAGCCCCTGCACCTCCTTCCTGGTTACCATAACTTCTATTATTTTTTCCAGTTCGCCATGGCGCTTGATATGACTAGAATATTTCAGCTTCCAAGACAAGATGCTTTTATTAGCCAATCTTCCTTGATGTTCAGATCTTTTAATCAGTATTTTATCTCTTTTTTGTCCATAGTATTCTGAGAATCTTTCTATAGCAGTTCAGCTCAAAAGCCCCTATTTTCTTTCCTGAGGCCTGGGAGACAGTCTATGACTCACATCTGTGTGTTGCAACAGGAAAGATGTATGCTCTAAACATTTTAATTTTGACTTCCTTGCTGGTGCTTAACCATAGACTTTTAATGCTGTTTACATTCAATAGTTAATTTAAAAAAAAAAATGTTCACGTCTAAGTAATTTTTTACAAACGCTGAAAAATTATTTAATTATGCTTACATCACTGCAGTATTGCTCTCTTTCCATCAATCTTGCCAGTTATTACCAAGTCTTTAGTCTATTTCTTCTCAAAACGTCCAACAAATATTGACTGTCTTCATCTAATTGTTCTAATAAATTTATGACTTTCATCTGTCTCCATGAGGACTGCTTCCTTTGTATTTCTATCTATCCATGACATTTTGCATTCTTCTCAGAAACCACATCTGTGAGTAAATGTTTTTCAGCTTGTTTACTTGTTGTCCATGTTTCATGTGCATAACACAACATAGGCTCTACATTTCACTTTAGCACTCTTTTTCTCACTGCAGTCGACATCTTCTAAGAAGTATGCAGTTACTATATAATTTATGAATAATTTCTGTAGTACAGTGTGTCATTTTTTGACTGTAGCGTTGTTCTAATTTCACCTGAACTGTTGAGTTAGGCAAACCATGCCTAGAATGTTAGGGTTAGATTAACCTTACCTCACCTTCTTACCTAGACTGTTTGGCTGGTTTGACCTTGCCTACACTGTTGGGCTGGTCTAATCCTACATAGACTGTTGCGCTGGTTCAACCTTACCTAGACTGTTGAGCTGGTTTAATCCTACCTAGACTGTAGAGCTGGTTAAACCCTACACAGACTGTTGTGTTAGATAAATCCTACACAGACTGTTGGGCTGGTCTAATCCTACCTAGACTGTTGGGCAGGTTTAATCCTACCTAGACTGTAGAGCTGGTTAAACCCTACACAGACTGTTGTGTTAGATAAATCCTACCTAGACTGTAGAGCTGGTTAAACCCTACACAGACTGTTGTGTTAGATAAATCCTACCTAGACTGTTGGGCAGGTTTAATCCTACCTAGACTGTAGAGCTGGTTAAACCCTACACAGACTGTTGTGTTAGATAAATCCTACCTAGACTGTTGGGCAGGTTTAATCCTACCTAGACTGTAGAGCTGGTTAAACCCTACACAGACTGTTGGGCTGGTCTAATCCTACCTAGACTGTTGGGCTGGTCTAATCCTACCTAGACTGTTAGGCTGGTTTAATCTTACCTAGACTGTAGAGCTGGTTAAACCCTACACAGACTGTTGTGTTAGATAAATCCTACCTAGACTGTTGGGCAGGTTTAATCCTACCTAGACTGTTGGGCTGGTGAAACCCTACACAGACTGTTGGGCTGGTCTAATTCTACCTAGACTGTTGGGCTGGTTTAATCTTACCTAGACTGTTGGGCTGGTTTAATCTTACCTAGACTGTAGAGCTGGTGAAGCCCTACTCAGACTGTTGTGTTAGATAAATCCTACCTAGACTGTTGAGTTAGATAAAACTGTTGGGGTGGTTTAATCCTACCTAGACACTCAGGTTGGTTTAATCTTACCTAGACTGTTGAGTTAGACAGACCTTGTTTAGACTGTTAGTCTAGCCTTAAATAGATCTTAACTTACCTAGGCTGTAAGGTTAGTTCATCTTTACCTAGACTGAAGAGTTCATGCAACTGCTGCAGAGTTGTAATAGAGTTGGTCATCATTTGCCTAATATAACCAAACATTTCAACAAGTAGGCATTAGATAATTGGAACGATTATCTTTGAAGTCATTCAACTTTGACAGCTTGCATTAAACCAGCAGTATTATGTTACAGGACATCCACACAGAAAATCAGTATCACAGATCAGTTCACAAAAGTCTAATAAAAAAAAAATTATTCGTTAAACTATCAACAGCACACATTATAACAAGGATAAATCAAGACAGAAGAGCAAACAGTAGCATCTATGTTTTTGTGTGTGTTAATTTCAGGTAGAAAATATTGCTTGCTTGTGAATTGTTTTTAAAAAAGAAATTTTTTATTATCCCCTTAATTTCCAGGGAAATGCAGTTTTGGTAGCTCCAAGTGTTGCCACTGTAATCATCAATGCCAATGACAACCCTAATGGCATTATCAGTTTTAAAGCAGATGTTTCTGGTGGATCTCCTAGTCAACGAGTTAATGAAGATTCATTTTCTTCTGTGAACTTCATAGTTAGGAGAGCAGCAGGTACATTTGGAACTGTCTCTGTTGCTTGGATCATCAGGAAGGAATCAGGAGGATCAGCAGCAATAACAGATGATGTTGGACCGGCTGGAGGTATTATAAGATATTCTTATGTTATTAGACTTCCCTGTAATGAATTGCTACAGTATACATGAGATTTATCCACACTAAAATGAAGATAACATTTTTCATAAAAATGCTTTTTCATTGTAAATTTATATAATGCAGACACAAACAATACATTGCACAGAGCTTTTCATGCTTTATTATATGCTGATTTAACTTTGTAGTAATGCACCTGACAAGATACAGCAAAATATGCCAGGCAGTATACTGTGCAATGTATTGTTTGTGCTCCCATTATTTAAACAGATAAAAATATTTACAGTTTAATAAATCTAAGTAAGCGATTGGATGAAGAGATTAACATCAGAAGCAGTAATGCAAACCAAGTATTGGGACTGCTAGCCATCTTCTTACAGCATAAGACAATCTCGATGAATACAGACCAACATCTTATACGAATCATATTTATCCCCTTATTCTACCAGTGTCAGACATGGTCACTCACAACAAACCATTATAATAAATTAGTAATCTTAGAACTGAAATGTCTGAGAAGTGCTGCAGGAGTGATCAGAAGAGATACAGTCGGAAATGAGGTCAAGAGAAAAATATTAACACAGAACCAATTTTAAATTACATACAAAGACAGCAGATCAAATGGTTTGTTGTCTCAGAGAGTATACCTAGTTACACCACACCATACAAGGCATACACCAAAAGAGGAGAATGACGTAGAGCATGGTAGACCATGAGGTAGACTAAGAACAAGATGGAAACATAACATCAGAAAAACTCTAGAACAGCACAATGTGTCTATAGACAAGTTGGCCAGAAGAGCAAGAAGTAGAACCTTATATGCCCCTCAACACCTGAAGCAATAAAAGAGGAAGTAAAGAAGAAGTAAATTAAATCTGCTACAGTTTATCTCTCAAACCTGATGGTTAATGAGTTGAAACCAAAGCAGGTAAACACACTTACTCTTGTATTACCTGAGCCTGTAAGTGAAGCAAAGACAAGTTGCACTGTAACCTACCGTGCATGTTTCAAGCTGTGATTAAGGAGAGTTAGTATGAGACTGACTGAGGAGGACTGCCTTGTTTGTTTTTGATCATTCCATGACACTCTTTGCTTTCTTCTTAAAAACCAAATCTCCTCTGTGAGTAAATGTTTTTTTTCCAGTTCATCTGCCTTTCTCCATGTCTCACATGCATATAACAACACAGGTTATATAGAACACTCCTTTTCTCACTACAGTTCATATGTAATACATTTAATACAGTGCCTGTGGGTCTTGACCTCTTTGGGGGTTGAATGAACCTTTCACAGGGGTTGCCTAAGACCATTGAAAATGACATATTCACTGAAGTTATGAAGTAGCAACAAACATTTTTTTAGGGTGGGGGGAAGTCACTTCAATATGAGGATTTGTATTAAAGGTTGCTGCATTAGGAAGGTTGAGAACCTCTGATATAATATATCCTAATACTTCAACAGGTATCTTGGTCTTTGCCAGTGGTGCAAATGAGGCAATCATATCTTTGACAATAGTCCAGGACAACACACCTGAGCCAGCTGAAATGTTCATAATACAACTCCAGCCAGAAAGTGTCACTGGCAGTGCTTTAGTTGATGGTTTTGTCAATGCTCAGTTGCTGATAGAGGACAGTGATAATGTGTATGGTACTATTGAATTTGGATCAGACAATGATCAGAAACTTATTACTGTGAGTGGTTACTTGACATTGGTAATATTATTGTCTGTGGTATGTCATGGCAAGAGTGTGTCAGCAGTGTGAAGGTGTGTTATGAAGAGTTGTGTCCATATCTTTTTTAATGGGTTAGTTTAGCTTCTGATTTGCTAGTAGATTTAATTACTGTTAGACAGAATTATGTTTTTCTAAAAAGTGTGTCACCAACTTTAAACATTTGGAAAGCTCTGGTCTATGGTTTGTTAAATTTGTCTCCTTGATTACTTCCTCTATGGGTTTTGTGGCCTCTTTGTGGGTGGAAAAAAGAATAGACCCTGCCTTCCTAACAAGCATGTCATGAGAGTGGACTAATTAGGGATTCTTTTGAAGTCGGAGGACTTATGTCTGGGAGGCAAGGAGCCAACAGTCTGCATACAAATAAACCAGATCTGTAAAATGGATGTGCACACAATACTCAAGTTCTGAAACAAGACTAAAGTCTATGTGTGGCAAACAACCAGAACTTTCTGTTGGAGTATACAACTGGTATACAAGTTCTTGATTGCATGTTTCTTAACAGTATGATAAACAAATTAGGCAATGTACCAATGGGTACTCATAGTGTCAGAAAAAAAAAAATTAGAGACAAAAAGACACACTAAACAATATAAAAATCCAAAGCTGTATTTACCACACCAGGGATCAACTTGTCATCTCCAAATAACTATGGTATCTTAACTTTTTGAGTCCCAAGGAACGCATCATACGTTCATAGGTTCCCGCCTAGAGGCCCAATGAACGCAAGATGTGCCGATTTTACATCTCTTTTGAATACCTCTTGGGCCTCTGATGCTAAACCCCCTGGGACTCAAAGAGTTAACTTCTGAATCTGTGAGTGCCGGTTACTAAAGTACTCATATGTTCATCATACTGTTAGCAGTGACCTCTAGAGTTACTGTGCAAAGTTCTTCGACCGGACTAAGAGTAGAAACATTCAGTATAAGGTGTGTCAGGGAAAACTTATCAGTAAAAAGCTAAAATAATAAAATTTATATACTGGAAATTTCTTGCCATTTCTTGACACACACTTTCAAATGATTCATTTAAATATTCATAATAACAAAAGGGTGGAAAGAACACAGCTTCCCTTTGATAAAGAGAGTGTCTTTGGCACTACTCAGGTAGTTTACCTAGTGATATGATTTTCACTATTAAAAAAATAATAATTAAAATAAAAACATTAATTATACAATTTAAACGTAAAGCTGCCAATGTACATATACGTACATATGCTGCACACATGCACAAACACATGCGTGCACACACACTGATCCAAAAAAAAAAAATAATGAGATTTTTTTTTAAATAGCTAAGACAAAAATGCCATTTATGAAGCAAAGCATGTCATCTTAGCAAGCAACATTCTTCGGTAATCTGACAAAATCACATTGCTGCTAGTAAGTTCATGACAAGTGATCACCCATTTTGTATAGCTAGTGAGAGACGCATGTTCACATTGGCAAGGAGCGAACATTCAAATGTGCTTTAAACTCAGAAAAGAAAATTCTAGATGAAATGATGCAAACAGTTAAAGGGAATTAGCATTTACCTTATGCACAGATATTGAGGTGTCTTCACGGTTAACAAATGGTGGAGAAATGACTGAAGATGTTGCTAGTTTGGGACATCATTAATTATGGATGAACTCAGTTACAAAGTAAAAGAACATGTACACAAAGAAGGATGTCTGACCGTGAGGATGATATCAGATGAATCTGATGTTAACTAGAAATGATCCACACCATTTGAATGGAAGACATTATTATTAAAAGAAATCATTATAATTTATGCTAAACATGCATATGTTTTTGCTCATCAGACAAAGTCGACAGATCTCCTGCCCAAATCTTTAACTAAAAGTATAAATTTATACTTTTATTTATAAGTTCATATTATATATGTAAGTACTTTTTTCTTCAGAATTCAGGATCTCGACTTCTGCGTCTGTCATTATCTAGATTTGGAGGACGCACTGAGTCATTGACTGCAAACATAACTGTTTTGTATGATGATGACAATCTGCATATTGAAAATGGTAAAGATCGTATTGGTTCATACTGTTATCTTTTATATGTATTTTTTATATTCTCTGTTAATATGGCATCATATAAGGAAGTGGTACTTTAATTTTGCAGCGAATAGTATTATAAATGTTCAACAAAAAGGTCATTTAAAAAAAAGACATAAAGTTACGGATTTTTTGTTTTCATGCCATAAGGCATATTGAGTGTACAATATTATTCCCATATTTTGTTGACCTCAGGGTGGGGTCTCTGTGGCAAAGTGTTCAAACCATTTGCCTCATGCTGTGAAGGTCAGGGGTTCATGTCATGACTGAGTAATTCATTTCATGAGTGCAGTTTGTATGGAGACAGCTGGGGATCATCACCACAGCTATAGTGTTCATGCTTTGTGTGATGCTCTTCAATAGAAACCTTTATTCAGTGAGCAGCACAGCAAGAGTAAGGATCCCAGACTTCAGCCCCCACACAGGGAAGTCATCTGCAGTTATATATAGTTCAGTGAATTAATTCTTGTAGTATTCTTCTATACTTCTTCTACCTCTTCTTCCCCTAAGTGGCATAAACCCTTAACTACTCAAGCCAAGTTGTCCTCTCCTTTGTAATTGCGTTCATCTACACCCTATGTCTTCACTATTTTTTTTAAACTTTATCTCTCATGGTGGGGTGGGGGGGTGGGGGGGGGGGTGTGGGGGGGGGGGGATCTACCTTTATTTTTATGCCCCTTTGGGTTTCAATGCATATTCATTATAGTTACAGTGTTCTTAAGTTTTATCAACGTGCATCCTATCCTGGCATATTTTTTTCCCACCTCTTGACTCAGTGGAACCTGCTTAGTTGTCTCCCGAAGCTGAACATTAGTGATTCTGTTATAACATTTCATTCCCTCTTATTCTGCTTGGGCACCAGGTAATGCATGTTTGTAATTTATTAGTAATTGTTTTGGTTGTTCTCAGTGTTTCCCCTCCGTATACAACAGCAGTACTGATTTGACATTCTCTTATACTGTTATAATTAAACAATCACTTTCACCACCTGTGTGGGTGTCAGGACCCCATTTTGGGGAAAAGAAAAGACCCACTGCTTCCCTAACAAAGTATGTTGTAAAATGTGAATGATTAAGGTTATTGACTCTGAAGTTGAAGTGTATTTGCCTGAGAGACAGAGAACCAACAGTATGAGTTGAAGTATGCCAGATCTGTACAATGAATGTGCACACAGAACTCAAGTTCTGGAACAAGACTGAAGTCCAAAAGTGGATGAATAACCAGAATTTTCTGCCAGAGTTTATAACCAGTGAACACTAAGGGGGAGACCACCCAGTATTACCAGGGACCATAAGAAGAGCAAAGAATAGTAACATTGTAGCCTACCATACATGCCATAATAGCTACTAAAGAGGGTTGGTATGAGAATAGTTACCTCATCCCTTAGCAAACTTCTGCTGTAGAAACCAGCCTCCCTGTGTAGATTTTGGGGCCCCACTGTGGGGGGAAAAAGGGGGGGAGGGGTGTAGAATAGACCTACTGTCTCTCTAACACGCATGTTATAGAAGTTGAATAATTAGTCTGTTAGACTGTTTCATCAGATCACCAGCCTTTTTTTTAATTTTCTGAGTTTAAAATACATTTAAATGTTTGCTCTTTGCCCACTGCTGCCAGTGTGAACAGGCATCTCTCACTAGCTATAAACAATAATAAGAAAATCCACTCAGTTCTAAGCCCCTGTGGTGTTTCAATGCCCCATTTTGGGTGAGAAAAATACCCCCCCCCCCCCCCCCCCCCCCCCCCCCCCCCCCCCCCCCCCCCCCCCCCCCCAAAAAAAAAGCATATAGAAAAAGGTGAGTAATTAGGGTTCAGCTGAAATTCTAGTTGAGCCCAAAGGAGCATATATTGCTGCCTAGCTGTAAACCACAACACAGCATGACAGCCAGCCATTTAAGGGTTAACAAAAAAGAAGATGACTGAACACATCTACAAAGGACTTGGCATAAATAGGTTGAGGGTATTTAAATGACAGCTGCTGAGTGGCCTTGGGGTATGGCATCTGCCTTGAGTGCTGGGGGTCCTGGGTTCAAGGCCCGGTGAAGGCTGGGGGTTTTTCCACGTGGACTTATAGTAATTTTCCCTGGTCTCTACGTAGTAAGACCAAACCCCAGTGTGTATTGCTGCGCAAATAAAAATACCTTAAAAAAAGAAAAAAAAAGGTAAAGTTCCCTTTTCACGCCTTTCGGCGCATCGGGCATATGGGCAGAGCGTCCCATATTTTTACAGACCATCAGCACTCTGTGGGTAATGTGGTCAGCATTACGCCGGCTGTCTTTACTTTCCCAGGACAGCCCATCCTGGTACCCATTTTAGGCTGGGTCGACCTGCGACGTCCCATACCACGATAAAAATCCACGCAGCCCACGCAGGTTTCGATCGCGGTATGCTGGCTTACGAGTCGGACTCGCAATGCCTTAGCCACGGACGCCGCACTAAAAATACCTTGGCAGTTGGAAATTGAAAAAGAGTATCCTAATGGCGCTGCCCGGGCAAAATATGGAGTTAAAAATCTACCAAAAGAATTTCAGGATCCTTCCCGGTGCAACAAAGTTCATGCCCTGCCCTGCAATTCTTCAGACTCAAGCTTGAATTTGAAGTAGAACCGAGCACTTATGTGGGACACCCGTGTTATTGTGTTGAATAAACATAAACATAAGGTTGAGGTTATATCCCTTATTAAAAGATGAAAGGCAAAAGAAGTAGAAAATTACATTACTTTCATAATCAATTGTTTGTTTTTGTTGTTATGTACAGAGGACACATTGGTAACACCAAGCCAGATTGTGTCTTTTCCTGCTGGAGAAGATCATGTTACTGTGGACTTTGAGCTGCATCAGTCATCATTCCTGGTGATGGGGGGCAAATTTGTGGCCACAATCACTGACCTTGGGTTTAACCGAGGTATGTGTCTACTTATATTTTTGTTGTTGCTAGAATTACCAACAGCATGAAGAACTTATGGCACCAGAGACTGCAAGCGAGTTAAAATAACACATTTGAGATCATGCATCTTTCCCACAGCAAGTTATGGATGTGAGTTTTTAACGTGAAATTCTGCAGACAAATTATTAGAATACTATGGACCAAGAAGGAGAAAAAACCCAAACATCCTGCATGATCTGGGCATTGAGGAGAATTGGCTCTTAAACAGCATCCTGTCCCGAAAGCTAGGGTATTTTGCCATGTTAAACATCATGGTTGACTTGAGAGAACAGCGATGGGCAGTATATTTTCTGGAAAGTGAGGCAGACCTCTGCAAAAGCAAATAAAAGGCACTGAAGATGCATTGGCTATGAAAGCACTTATGGCCAGAGAAGAGACTAGAGAAAGAGAGATTTTCAAGTGTGTTGTGACCAGAGTGACATTGTGTAAAGGACATGCCTGTTATTGATGTTGAGAATACCTACTCATCATCATGTAGCCGGTCTTTTGTAGAATGTCTCTTCCATCACAGCATACTGGAAAGCTACTTAGGCCATTAAAAACTTAGCTGCCTCATGAACTTTCATGGCCAGTCGACCCTGATATCCTGTGTACATCATCATCGACCACTGTCTGCTTTTTTCTTGAATCATACTCTGCATTGCTCTCTCCAAATTGTTATGTTGTTTAATGTGGCATAAGTTTTTTTAGTTTTGAGAAACCCTACTAAAGTAGCGATTATTAGTTATGGGGAAGTTGTAAGACTTAATGTATATTGCTAGATTTACTAGTAAATATCTACCTGAGGAGCGGCTCTCCAGGCAGTTACGTCAGACCCTCATTTAGGAGACCTGAGTTCAACCCCTGAAAAGGTATGGCTGTTTTTCTGTTGGGGGTGAAAATAAACATCTTAACCTGAACAGTCCATGATGACAGCACTAGCAGTGCGGCCCTGAATCCTCAGGCTCACAATTCCCCCTGTGTACACCGCGCTAAAAAAAGTGATAAATACAGACAATAGTGACAGTCTAACTGACTGATTGTTTTTCCACCCTGTCTGCTACCTGAAGGTTTGAAACCCATGTGACTCAAAGAATGTGCATCCTGAATGCCAGCCTAACAGGAGAAATAGATTCCCTGTTTAACTTCTTATAATGAATGCACCCATAATGGTTACACAGTGTATTATCTTGGTGTAACTTTCTATTCTGGGAGGACAGAGAATCAATTTTTCCCATTAACTGTAGGCTAAATTGCTTTTTTTTTAAAAACCAAACTACGACTGACACTATCAGCAAGGGAACTTTTTGATGGGTAATGAAGAAGGCCAGCGAACCATGTTGATTTATCTTGAGTGCAATGATATAAATTCAGTATTAATTAATTATTTAATATTGAATGAACTATTTGTTTCATTTTAGCTCCAAGATTTGGTGCTTACAATAGTCCAAAACTTGGATTACGGCAAACAATTACAGTGCAAGTTTCCCTGAATGACGCAAATGGAGAAACAGGATTCTTTAATGTTACCAACCAAGTAACAGATGAGCCTGCATCAGGTGTCACACAGGTGAAGTTTTTATGTGAAATAAAAATATGAGCAATGATGGACACACTTCCTTTGAAGTAAAAGTGTATCTACCTGAAAAAGGAGGAACCAGCAGTTCCTGTCCTGCACACAAAGAAGCCAGACCTGTAAAATGTATATGCAAACAAAACTCAAGTCTTCAAGCAAGACTAAAGTCCATAAGTGGGCAAACAACTATAACTTTCTGCTGGAGTTTACAGGCAATAAATGCAAAGAAGAAGAAGATGTACACACACTTCCCATTTAGTTCTGTGGCCCATTTTGTGAGGACAAATAAATCAGCTGCACCTTAGCAAGCATGTTGTAAAAGGCGATTATTTAACGATTGGCTAAAATTTGATGTTTTGATCTGAAAGGTGCATATATTGCATTCTAACTGTTAACCACAAGACCCCATGCTAACTTCTCTTTTAAGGGCAATGAAGAGGCTGAAGGATAATGAGCACACAGAAGTCAAGTAAAAAATTGGAGATAAATCAATATCTGAATTGATTTCTCATGGCCTCAAGCATCCTCCACTGACTGATATGTCAAAAGTTTCTGTTTTCAGTACAGCTCCACACTGAGCCAGATTTATTTATAATAAACCTAGGGCTCCTAGGTCAATTCAGTCTAAAAGTGGTTACCAGGAATTGTCCTGGGGAAGTAAAGTTGACCAATGTGCTGCTGCTTTGATGTTTTGCACACATGCATAGAGAACTCACAAGTATGCCTAAAATTAGTTTTAGGCATGTATAGAGTCAACAATGTATATGTCTCCAATTCTTCAATGTGTTTAAAGTGTTAAGAACTCAGTACAGCAAAGCTGTACTCTGTTGATGTTAGCATTACCCATTCAGCCTTGAGAAAGTGATTTTGTCACCTTCTACAAATCCCAGTTTGACAGATACTGCAGCTTTACAGCTGTGGCAAGTCCTTGCTTTGTCTATATAATAGCTTTGGTCCCTTTTGTGCCTGCACATTTTTTTTTGGGGGGGGGGGTGGGGGGGGGGGGGGAGGAGGAGGGGCTGAATATGTTTATATTAACAAAAACCAGCATGGATAAATGAGTTGTTATTGTGACAAAAAAAAAATTGTGCATTTGTTTGTGTGTGTGTGTGAATATGTGTGTGTGTGTGTGCCTGCATGTGTGGGCGTGTGTGTTGGTGAGTGGGTAGTTACTAGCGTATTGGGCCCCTTTTTCTACATAGGGTTTCCAGGGCCAAAGCATTAAAATTAAACCAGCTTCTACAGAACAAAATGTTAGAAGAAAACCTTGCATGACATATCTGTCAGCATTCACATTTTCCCCGCAGACATGAGAGATGTTAAATGCATGTCCTGATGATAGTTTACTGGAAGTAATGTGATTAAAATCGTGTAAATTTTTCTTTGTGGGTTCTAGGATCCCATTTTAAGGTGAGTGTAGGAGAAAGGGGGCTGACCCACTGCCCCTTAGCATGTGTATCATAAAAGGTGACTAATTTAATGATTTAATTGAGATATGTTGGGTTAAAAGATGTAAATATTAGGCTTAGTTATAAACCACAAAACTACATGCTAGCCACCCTTTTAGAGGAGGATGCAAAAGAAGAAGAGGATAAAGTCATTTAACTTACAGATTTCTGAATTTCATGTGTTACAGGTGGGCCTGTTGGTGAGCCGTGAAGGTCTGATTGGGCAGGCAAACATAAAGTGGTCCATCTCTGGTGCTGATGTCACAGCTGATGATGTCAATGCTTTGCAGGGAACATTAGTTTTACAGTCTGGTAACAAATACTTTGTTCTGCAAATGTCATCATCATCATTCTATTGTGTCATTATATGTTATATAGAGTTCACAGTAAAGACCTCCATCAAGTTCTGTCCTGTTCAGTTTCTTGATTATCAAGTCTTTGGCCTCTTTGAACAACATTCATCTTATGGATTTTTTTTATTGAATTTTGTGTGTGTAACCGTGACAAGGTTGGTAATTCTAACTTTGACCAATGGATTCTCTCTCCCCCCCCCCCCCCCCCCCACCCCACCCCCCAAATGTGATCAGTATTGCTGGAAGGAGCCAAAACATGGAGAACAACTAAAACAAGTACTAATAAACTACAGACATTCAATAACTGGTGCCTGCATGGAATAGAGGGAATTATGTGGTTTGGTGGAATAAAAAGTATGGAGCTTTGGGGGAGAACTAAACAAATTCCTTTGAATTAAGAGGTGAAGAAAAGACACTTGCTTTGGATAGGACACACATTGAGAAAACCTAAGAACAATATAATGTATTTTGACTAGAACCCACAGGGGCATAGAAATTAAGTGAGACCAAAATACACATGGAGAAGGGATGTTAAAAAGATAGGACATGGGATAAGTGGTATGAGATGGCAAAAGACAGAAACATAGCACCTTTTTGTTGTTGTTTGTTGAGGGCCCATGGCAGAAAAAAGGGCAGAAGAAGAAAAAGGAATGAATGAATGAATTCCTGAATGTTTGAATTATTAAATATATGCTTTAAATATATGATATTAAATCATGGAGAGATAACTAAGATGAAAAAAATGAAGTCAGTAATGCATAGAATCCATTAATTAGTCGTGAAAAATTGCACTGTAGCAGGATTGAAAACTGTTTCATGTGTAAGTGTTTATGCATAACCTATGTATTTGATTTTAATTATTATATCTGTATTGGTTTTTGTTTCCATAACTACAACCTTTTTTTTTTAATTTCAACATTTCCAGAGACTCAAATCAACTTTCTAGTTGCTTTAAAAAATTATTTTCACATAATGTCAGTATCTAATAATGTATTCTATGCTTGAACTCTCCAAGGTATGTCAGAGGCATTACTTTTAGTTGGCATCAAAGCAGATGATACACCTGAAATCACAGAAATTGTGACAGTTCAGCTTGACAGCATAGAGCCCTCTGACACCCAGCGACTGAGACCTGGCTCAACATCTGTGACCATCACTATTAATGCTAATGACAATCCAGGCGGAACACTGCAGTTTTCTCCAAAGATGAACCTCTCCTATGTTGTTACAGTAAGTTCTGATATGTTATCGCTATAGGTTCAGATTTTTTTGTTTTTGTTTTTAGTCACAGTAAGTTGCTGTGTATTGTCTCAGTAAGTTCTGATATGGTGTCACAAAAGGTTCTGATTTTTGTTGTTGTTACAGTTAGGTCTATGTTATTACAATAAGTTTTGTATTGTCACAGTAAGTTCTTCTATATTGCCACAGTAAATTTTGATATGTTGTAACCGTAAGTTCTGATGTGCTGCCACAGTAAGTTCTGATATGTTGCTTCAGTAAGTTCTGATATGTTACTACAGGAAGTTCTCATATATTACCTCAGTAAGTTCTAATATGTTGCCACAGAAAGTTCTGATATGTTGCCACAGTAAATTCTGAAATGTTGCCACAGTAAGTTATATGTTGCCACAGTAAGTTATATATTGTCACAGTAATTTCTGATATGTTGCCACAGTAAGTTATATGTTGTCTCAGGAAGTTATCTATTTACATATAAGTTCTGATATACTGTGCCTTTAAGTTCTGTTGGAGCAGCTGGCAAAGGGCATAAAATTCTGGGCTCCTATGCGGGAGACCTGGGTTCAGATCTGAGGTGGTGAAAGTCTGTTTCTCTCAATGACACAAACATCCTCACTGGTACTAGCCATGCTTGCATAAATGCTCAGGCTTGAGACTCCCTTATTTTACACTACCACCCTAAAGAGTGGTAACAGCATACAGAACAGACAGTAATTAGTTAAAGCTCTGTTATGCTATTATCATAAGTTCTGTTATATTGTTATTTTAAGCTCTGATGTGTTGTTTAGTTGAGTTCTGTTATATTTTTATTATTTAGTTCTGTTATACTTTTTTTTAAAGTTAAGTTGTTTTCTCAGAATAAGTTATATGTTATAGTAAGTTCTGTTGCCTGTTATAATAAGCACTGATGATGTCATTATGGTTACTAGTTTTATTTTGTTGTGAGATCTGCGTATTGCTATACTAACTTCTGTTAAATCTGAAAGTATTCATGTGTTATTATTGTACATTCTCTTTTTTTCTATTAAGATCTATTTTGTTTTATATGTTCTGTTTTGTTATAACAAGTTCTAGTATGTTGTCATAATTTCTGACATTTTGTAACAGTAAATTCTGTGATTTTGCCTCAGTAAGTTCTGTTATTTTGCTCCAATATCTGTCAATATGGCAGAGTAAGTGAAGATATTTTGTCACAGTAAGATCTGATATTTTTCACAGCAAGTATTGATTTGATGTTGCAGTAAGTTCTGACTTGTTTTCCTGGTAAGTTCCCAATGGAATTAACCCTGTCAGACCGCTGGCCCTATTTTCCGGAAATTTCATAACCTGACGCTATACCGCTGGCCCTATTTTTCAGCTTTTTGCTTAGTACAGGAGAACAATGAGTCACAGACTAAAAATAACTAGCCAATCATAATGAGATCTCATGGATAGTCTTTCTAGATGTCCGCCCACATGTATTTGGATAAAATTTGTGTTGTTTTACGTGAAAAAATTCTAAAAATTCAAAAAAAAAAAAGAGCAGCTGATGAACAAAGCACTTCGACAGGAAAGTAAAGTAGGTCTAGGCTTTTCACAGTCCAACAGGTGATCGATACTTTGGTTTATTCAGACTGCAGAGTCATTATTTCATGAAGAATACGTTCATAGTTGAAGTAACACATTCAGCTCGAATAATAAGGAGAATCTTACAAATTATAAATCTAGAAATAGATCGATAGTAAGAGAGGGGGTGTGTCCCTCAAACAGCAACATCTGGTGCTCACTTTGTGAAACAATCCTGATCCTCCTGAGTGGATTGGCACACAAAGGTGGAATATTGGAGCTAGATAAAAAGATAAGTCTATTTTCTACAATGTCTCCAAGTTTCATCTTATTCTAGCCACTTGTTTGCATGTAACTAATATTTTTGTACATCATGTTGGTTTTTTCATGTTAATGCCTAGGAGTTAAGGTATAGGGGTCAATTAGATTCAGGGCCTCAGGTCTGGTTAAGAAACAGCAGCTGCATTCATATTACAATATGGACCAAAAGTTTAAGACCACCCAGTAAATAATTTATATTTCCATACTTGTTAGGAAGTATTGTATTAACTGCCATTTTAATGAATGATTGCATTAATTGTCTTTACTGGGAGACCTTAAAAAGCTGTAGATATAATACTTTGTGATAGTATTGAAAAATAAATTATTCACTAGGTGGTCTTAAACTTCTGGCCACCACTGTAAACGTATGTAAGTAAAGTAAAAAAAGTAAAGATCCCTTTTCACGCCTAAGGCACATCGAGTATATGGGAAGAGCGTCCCATATTTTTACAGACCAATCGGCACTGGATGGGTAATGTGGTCAGCATTACGCCGGCGGTCTTTACTTTTCCAGGACAATTTTGGGCTGGGTCGACCTGCAACACCCTATACCTCGATAAAAATCCACGCAGCCAGCATTGGGTTTTGATCGCGGTACGCTGGATTACGAGTCGGACTCACAACGCCTAAGCCATGGAGTAAACGTATGTGACACCATGTTATTGATCACTTCTGCAGCAGTTGATGGTACAAGTTTCTGTCTCACGTTTTGGAAGGAAATCCTTAGTAGATGAAAATTGCATGAAATTATTTTTAGGAAGGCAACCCTGGCAGCAGTTGTCTGCAAAAGTCGGATTTGTTTCCCAAAAGGTGTACATTTCACAACGATGTTGTAAACGGGCACAACATAGTAGAAGAAGAAATATGTAGTTATTTGTTTATTTTTTCATCTTGGCTCTTTCAAGATGATAAGGTGAGGGTAATACATGAAATGTACATTTTTTTTAGGAAGATGGTGATCCTATTGAGGTGATTGTGGAGCGTACAGGTGGTGCTTTGATGATGACTGAAGTTCAGTATTCCATTATACCCAATGGTACTAACCAGTTTTATGGAGCTACAAACATCCTTGCCTTTCCTCCAGGGAAAAGAGAAGTTTCATCCCAAATTCTGGCCAAAAAAGACGGCATTCCAGAGGCACGTTTTTTGTTTGTCTTGTAATGATTTAATCATTTTCATATATAGGATTAAACTGAAATATTTTGTTGCTAATGACGTTTGATACCCTATGTGTTTGTGGGGCTGATGCAACATGCTGATTCTATCGATGCAGACACATAACCTTTGAGCCAGAAGGTGAGTATCTAGCTGCTACACCAAAACAGCACTCAAGAAACTAATAGTTTGCACACAATAAGTCAAAACTGTAAAATGGATGTGCAAGCAACTCTTGTCCTGTTAACAAGAGTCTAGACTCACATGACTAATTACCATTTTCTGCCAAAGATCAAAGCTGGTGATGGCAGAAGGAATGATACTATTTTTGCTTGAGAAATAAATTTACAAGTGTTAATTGGCACTCACAGAAATGGAAGAAAGAAATATAGATTAGAAGAAATACTAAATAGCATAAAAATTTTATGCTGCCGCCAGCTGATTTTTTTTCTTGCTCCCTCACCTAAAATTGACGCTGAAAAGCTGAGCAATTTAAGGATGTTGATGACATTATCGCTAATGCAACAAAGCAGTTGAAATAGGTGTCAAAGACTAGGTTTCAGGAATATTTCCAACAACTGTATGAATTTTGGCAAAAGTTGTGTTAATAATTGCACTGTTACTTATTTCTACACAATACACCAGTTTATGTAACTTTTGAAGTTACCTCATATTTCATTCTTGAGTGGGTCCCGGGAAGTAAAGGTGGCCGGTGTGATGCTGACCACATCACCCATCTTGTGCCGATTGGTCTATAAAAATATAGGTCTAGCCCTATATGCCCTATACGGTTAAAGGCGTGGAAAAGGGTCCTTTTGTTTTGCATATTTCATTCAGACAGCCAGTCTTTATTTAAATTTAAAAAAAAACCATAAGTTAAAACATCAGTCTCTAAAAATAAATATAAAAATACATTTCTTAATAATGTTTTTACTGTCAGAGAATTTCAGCCTGAAAGATTGGCTACTAGTGTCTCAAAGACCCACTTTTCATATGTGATTTCAACAGGGAAAATTTAAGGCAACATGTTTTTAAACTTTCCAAATAGTTATTTTAGGTTACAGTTTAGGGTGCATGTTTAGACTTGTCAATTAAATGCAATGAAATTTCATGTTGATTTACAGTAAGAAAAAACCTTGGGTCATGTATTCTTAATATGCTGTAATTTATTTGCTTACAGCTTACAGAAAAGTATACTCTTATCCTGACACCAGTGGGAAGTCCACCTTCAGTTCTTGGCAGCCGCACTTCAATTGACATCACTATCTTGAGTAGTGACAGCCCAAATGGCATTATTCAATTTAGTTCTAATCCAACAACCATATTAACAGGTTAGTACCCCAGTTATGGGGGCCATCATGGGGTAGCACTAGGCACTCACCTGTGGATAAAAAGGTTGTGGATTCAGGTCCTGATTTTTTTAAACAAAAATGACCTTGGAAGCCAGCTCGACCCAGCCTTGAATGGGTACTAGGTATAGTCCTGGGAAGTAAAGACAGCCGGCATGATGTTGACCACATGACCCACAGAGTGCTAATTGGGCTATAAAATTTAGATCTGGCCCTAAAGCTCAATACTCCTGAAGGTGTGAAAAAGGGTCCTTTATTTTACTTTACCTCAGTTTTAACAATATGTGCTTGTTATCATCATCATGATTCATTTCACTATTTTACATGATGACTAGGACTGGGTTTTTTTAGTCAGGTCTGTGTTCTGCTTCTTTTTCTGCCTGTATTTGCCCATAAAAGGGTAGTTGTAACATGTTACAGTTTACAGCTAGGCTGCTATATCTTCGCCTGATGGCCCAACACATTCACCAAATCCTAATTAGTTGCCCTTTTTAACATACTTCTTGGTGGGTTGAGGGGGAGAGAGCAACATTTCTATTCTGTTCCTCCCCCTCTTTTCCCAAATGGGGCCCTGGAACCCACATAGGGAAGGTCTCTTAAGTCACGTTGCCAAGTCATCCAGGAATTTATCTATTTGCCTTTCACTTGTTCTTTTCCCTATAAAGTTTTCCAGTTATCACTAAGTTTTTACCCAGATTGATGCAGCCAAACTGGGTACCAGTAACTGTCCAGGAAAGTAAAACTGGCTGGCATGATGTTGATCCCATCTCAGGTCGAGAGCTGAAAGGCCTAACAAAAATATGGGTCTAGCACCATTTACCAGTTGACCATATCATCACCTGCTTAGTGCCAGTTCATCGTCATCATCATCAAAATCCACTTCTGCAATTAAGCATTGTAGAAAGGGACAGTTTGCGATCTGTTGCTTGATGGAAGCATTGGCTATTTTCATTTTGTGTCCATGAAGAAGCTCTGTTAATGTCATCTATCCGTTTTCTACAAGGACAGCCTCTTGCTTTCACTTTAGATATTTTCATCTGTAGTGCCTGCGTTAGTTGTTGTTTGTTGTTCTGGCTGTATTCTTACTAAATGGCCAAACTGTTTGATCTTTTGTTGAGTGCCAGTTGGATTATAAAAATATTAGTCTGGCATCATATGTCCATCAGTGTGTTTACAGTTGTACACAACAAAACCTGGTACCAGGAATTGTCCTGGAAAGTAAATGTGGTTCATGTGATGTTGATCATATCACCAGTTGACCAGATCATCACCCATTGAGTGCTAGTTGATCTACACAAAAATATAAGTCTAGCATCATTTGCTGGATATGAGAAGAGTCTTTTACTTCGCATAGCTAACGATCGATTTCCTGTATAGTGCGCACTTGTTAATTTGCTGTTGGTGATATAGTTGAGTCTCAGCAGCTTGTTAATTTCATCTGTCCCTCATCTTCTTGGTCTTCCTCTGACTCTTGATGTTTTCATTCTCATGTTTTATGATGTTGCAACTCATTACAAGGGGTTAATTCTAGCCAGGTGGCCAAACCATTTCAGTTTTTGTTTTTCAGTAAATCTAATTACAGGTGTTGCTCCCACCATTTAAATGATATCTTCGCTTCTTATTTGGACAATGTTGGTAAAAATATTGCGTTTATAATGTTTCTTTTAGTTTCCTTTGGTTTTGCTAACTATTTCAGTAATGGGGAAAGTTGACAGGTAACACTGTTAGCTTGTTAGATTCTGAACTTGATCCCTCTGTCCAGTCTGCCGACTGATGAAAAGATGCTTCCAAAATATTTGAATTTGCCTAGCTCTTTTAGTGAATGTTCGTTAATTTTTATGTGGATATTATGACGTTCCTTGTTACCTTTTCTAGGTTCGTCTAAGATATCTTTCCTCATAACATCCTTAAAACATTTTAACTTTGCCTATAATTTATATAATCAACATTGCTTTTTTCATCTGTTTCCTGAATGAAATGCCTTACTTATTTTATCACAGCACATAAATACAGAGACACCTGAACATAAGTCACCCTTGGTCACATACACACACAGACACACACATGTACACATATGCACATATAGAGTGTAGTAAATTATGTTAATATTCTTATAGTCCCAAATTCTTATGATTATCATTTACAATGTTTGACAGTTGAGGGTCAGCTGGGTGAAGAAATCAACTTGACCATCCCAGTTAGCCGAATTAATGGCACTTACGGCACGATTACAGTCCCTTGGGCAATCTCACCATCCCCGCAAGATGACCTGACTCCTTCCTCTGGAGTTCTGGTGTTTCAACCTGGGCAGAGTACACAGACAGTTTTGCTAATAGTGAAAAATGACAACGTAAGCAGTGAAATTATATGTGTATATGTGTATGCGTGCATCCATATATATATATGTTTATGTATGAGTATGTGTATATACATACATATATATATATATATATATATATATATACATAATATGTACATACATAATACATATATAATACATCCATACATAACCTGTATGCATACATACCAACATACAAAAATATAAACATACATACAGACAGACACACACATACTGACACACTGACACACAGACACACTCACAGATTCACACACATACACACATTTACACATATGCATGTGCGCACAGACACACAAACACACAGAGAATGGCAAAAAACAGAGACAAAACATGTGAATGCAAAAAAGTTGAATGGGAGTGGGCGACGAAGAGGGAGAATTTACAGGCAGACCTACAAACACGGAAAGTCAACAACTGGAAACATAAAGCCAATTACAGAGATGAGTGTTAAATGTTGAATTAAGAATCGACATAACAGCACTTAGGACAATTCGATAAGTGATCCATTCCCATCTTCAGCAGCAAGTGAAGAGTTCAAATTCTGATGGCACCAGTTACTGCTTGATTATATATCTGTCTCACCTTTCCCTTGAGTGTTGAGTGTCAGCCAAATCCCCTGGTAACTCCTTGCAGCACCATTCTCCTCAGACGCAATGATCTGTTTGTACCTCCTCTCTGTTGACTTGCTCCCAAAGGGCCCTCGCAGCATCTAGCTTGTCATACATTAATTCACAGGCAAGTGGTGCAGAACCAACTAGTCTGTCTGCCTGCCTGTTTCCCAAAACACTGGCATGACCTGGAGAAAATATCAGAAGGACTCTGAAGCGATGCTTGCCCCTCTGCACGGAGCTTGCCTGTCTGCACCTTTCTCAACATGCTCTGTGAGTCAGTTACAATTACCACATGTGTATAACTGATTCTAAACCCAGTGGAAGCAGCAGTGACTGCCTCCACCCCCATTCTCAAAGTAGACATTGTGATATCATATGCCAGGCTTTGCTGCACTAAGCTACATCATCTCACTTTTGCTATGAACCCCCAAGCACTTCATCTGCCCCTCAGTACAGTGCCATCTGTATTCATAACCCATCACCTGGGCGGGAATTGTCATGAATCATTTATCAAACTGCTGATTCTGCAGCACCAGCTGGCCAATCTCTGCACTCATGACCTCAAGTGATTAGAACCCAACACAAATTTGATTCTTGCTCGGACACTTTGACGCACTCCTCTCCTCACCTAAATTTATCAAGCCTGCTCTCAGAGATGAATGGAGATGGATGATATCTGTAGCAATAAACCCCAAGAGTTGGGAATGCGTGCGTGCGTGCGCGCGCGTGCTTGCGTGCGTGCGTGTGTGTGTGTCTCTCTCTCTCTCTCTCTCTCTCTCTCTCTCTCTCTCTCTCTCTCTCTCTCTCTCTCTCTCTCTCTCTCTCTCTCTCTCTCTCTCTCTCTCTCTCTCTCTCTCTCTCTCTCTCTCTCTGCTTCAGTATGTTTACAATATATAATTTTTAATTTTCTTAACCTTATGTTCTTTGCTAATGGTACTAATACACTCATATGCCGCCAGCTCATTGATCTGGAGCTTAAATTCCTATCTGTACTTATCAGAGTGCACCAAACTTGGAAATACTATATTACCACATTGAGGAACTATAGTGGCACCAGTTAGAGAGCTAATGAAAGGATACATACAGATTTGTACTAGCAATAACACTGTGAATGTCAAAAGCAGGTACAAACCAAGTGGTGTCCTATGCAATATTGCATGCACAACTGCTATTTTGCAATAACTGCGTTGTATTTGTTTTGTTTGCGTTGTGTTTGTTTTGTTTTATGTTTTTCCCTATCTTCTTGTTTACTGATGAAGACTTGTTGCTACAGGATCCTATGCTTTTTTTTTTTTAATAATTGAAATTTTTTCCAACTGATCATTTTATATTTTATTATTGTTTGACTTTTGGCCTATTGTGATATCAACTGATACAGTAGGTATAACATATACCACTAAACATCCATGTGATCCCATACCATACACTACAACTGAGGTGGAAAGTCAAAATCTGTTGTATTTTTTAGATTGCTGTATAATGAGGTTGAGTGATCCAACTCCTTTAACACATAATGTTTAGAGAAATATATAGAACATGATGAACATGGTTAGGTTGGCCTGAGAACTTTTCCAGACTCTTAATAGTTTTGTGGTGTATATAGCATGTTGAAGTATTTTTGTAAACAAAAAGTTAGATAATCTAAAATTGTTCAAATTGAAGGGCTGAAAATAAGATTAATTTACAGATCAGCATATATTATGAACAGCCTTAGTAAACAAATAAGCAAACTTGGATTTTTAGACTTCTGACACTCAAACATTTTTGCTGAAACTACCGGCTGCCAGAAAGTACTCAAACAAATACCGAACACTTTCTATAATGCTGACCAGATAAAAGCACAAGCCATATATCAATATATAAAAAAAATTTTAATGATGCCCTCCTAACAGTAGAGGTTGGTTGCAGCATATCTAGTCTATCTATTGTCTTCTTCACTTTTACCGGTTGCAGCCCAGTGTCGTGGTTTAAAATATTTGTTTTGTGCCTCTCACGTGATTTGAGTGACAGTTTTCTGGATCTTCTGGCCGTATTCAGCTACTCCATCTATCCATTTTTTCCTGGGTCTTCCTCTGGCCTTTCTTCCCGATGTTCTACTGTAAAAGGCCTTATAGGCAATCTGATCCAGTTGCATTCTTACTAAATGGCCAAACCACTTCATTCTCTGTCTTTCAATATGTTCCATGCATGGTCTTGTTCCAACTTTGTCTCTAATGCTGACGTTTGTGACTCTGTCTCTTCGTGTATTGTTGGTGACTCTTCGGAGACATCGCATTTCACACGTAGTTATTTTTTGCATATGTGATTTGTTCATTGTCCACGTTTGGCACTGATAACATAACGTAGAGATGAAAATGCTGTTGATCATCCGTTGTTTGGCTGGTAACGAGATCTTTGGATGACGAAGAAGTGGGGCCAGTTGGTAGTTGACTGCATTGGCTTTTTGAAATCTAGCCTGTATCTCTTTATCGAGTCTTCCATCTTCTGTAAATATGCATCCTAAGTACATGCATCCTAAGCATATCTAGTACTGACTGGTTATCTTACATGATAGGTCCCAGTCCTTAGCTTAGAGTGACCCTTGGGCTACTGTCTGAAAGCCATGAGAACATTCTTTTTTCCAAACCACCGACTGCCTCAGGAAGTGAGCCCTTGTATACATCGAGAATTAATAAATAAATGTGTGTTAAAAATATTTACCAAAAGAGAAGATCAACATTATTTTTTGGAACCTGAAGAAAGCTCTACAGCTGAATAATATGTTTACTGGGAATGTGAAGATAAAGAATATTTTGAGTGAACATTGAAAAAAGTATTAAAAAACTGAGGAATTAAAAACTATAAAGCAAATGTGGTAAGAATTTACTAAAATATGTTCTTTGCCTGATAATTTCTAGATACCAGAGGGGAATGAAACTTATGCACTGCAGTTATCAACACCCCAGGGAGGTGCTTTGCCAGGCATTCCAATGGTAGCAACCATTGTTATACAAGAGAATGATAACCCGGTGGAGTTTGTTGGTAATGTAACATTTGTGACATTTTAACCAATAGATCATAGACAAATATTACTAGTTGTACAAGCAGTTTAAAGTAATTAGGATTGTTCATGGTATGAAGAACACTAAAAGAAAATATGCATAGACATTGTGTAAAAATTAGACAGTAGGGCAGTTAGATCAAACTAAATGACGAGGGATATTCCAAAATCAACCTCTGATTGGGGGGGGGGGGGGGGGGGGGGGGTATAAATTAACTGTTTGCCATAGCTACACCATTCACTGCTTGCATCATTCAGTAGTCTTTAGCTCGCTACAAATCAACCGACAGTTAAATTTGTTCAGTGGTTCACGAATTGCCAATGAATAAACATGGGAACTGTTATTGCCTGTTCCACCAGCTGTGACATTTGTGGTGTGATTTATTTTTCATGGCCAAAATATTTGCTTGAAATTTTTGGGCTTGTTTGAAGAATGAGTATGCATCCACTGTTTTGATTGTCCCTTTATCTCAGCATTTAAAAAGTGAACCCATATTTCAACCCTGGTCATTAATCTGTCAAGAAATGCATCCCCATATTCCCAGTTGCACAGAAGGAGCACAAAAGCTAATCCCATTCTTTGAGTTTTGTGAATGTCAGTCAATGGTTTTATACCCACCGTGAACAGAATTTGTGTAGCTAATCTCTCTGTGACATTTTGAAAGCCTAGTCCTAGAAATTTGTAGAAACATCTAAATTGTGAAAAAATGCTTTTCCACTACCACTTATTGAATGCTCTCATCTGTCACACGTGAATGTCATCCTTGTCCACCCTCATCATGCACATTCTTACACCCATCTCTGAATGTCCTGCAACATCCCATACAGAACAGTCATTCCTAAAGTTTTCAGCACACACATGACACAGATTGACAGTGAATCTTGGTGGCATATTGACCTTCTGCTTGAAGAAAACGAATCACACCACAAATTTCACTGCTGGCGGAGAGGTCAATAACAGTGTCTATGTTTATTTGCTTTTCATGAACCACTGAACGAATGCAACCGTGGACTTCATTGTTTGCATTCCCTATCTGTTCTTTTGCACTGTCTTTTGATGTCATAGAGCCCTCACCACATCGCTCTATCATATAGTGGCCCACTGCCCAGAGGAGCAGCAGCCGCCAGTCTATCAGCCCACTTACCACCTCGCACACCTGAACATCCTGGGCATGAAATCTATGATATACTTTCGATTTGGATCCCATCAAGCGATGCAAGCCACTCCACACACAGGACTCCAGTCTCAAATTGAGGCATATTAACTGAGACCTGTTATACAATTATGTGAACTTATACAACACAGTTTCATTTCTCAAAGAACAATTAAACTGTTCTAATATTTCTTTAAAAAAAAAAGAATACTTTTAAAATCATTTTAGATCCGGTTCAGTACGTTTATGAGCCACAGACGGTCAACCTTATCATCAGAAGGCAAGGTAGACTGGATAAATCAGGCAGAGTCCACTACAGAACACTGGATGGTTCAGCTTCCTATCTAGAAGGAGACTACACTCAGATCCAACCACAAGAACTGACATTTAACATTGGACAGCAGGACAAAGCAATAACAGTTGTTGTGCTGGATGATGACATTCCTGAAGGAAATGAGACATTTTCAGTACAGTTGTTTGATGTTGGAGGTAATAAAGCTTTCTCTTTGTTTGAATGAATATTACAGTACTGCCCCTCCTACGGTCTAACCTTTCTGTAGATTTTGAAAAGTTAAAGTTGAGAGGATCAGGGTTTTAACCCATATGTGGTTTGGCTTCTTTCTCCAGCAGCTAGCCAGCTGCCGAGAGCCTCCACAGAGCACAGATTCTGTAGCTCCAGTGACAATCCCCACGGATTGATGCACAAACTGCACACGTGATCTAAATGACATGTCTGTGAAAAAAAACCCAATGAACTTTAGAGCGCAAAGCAAACTGCTTTATTACTCACCACGGAGACCCACTGATTAAGAAAGATGTGCACTAGGGGTGGAACATGAAATAATGACCAACACAGTGTAAATAAATCTGTATGAACTACATTTTATTCCTCATAATTAAAAGAAACACAGGTGAATTCTTAATATAAATAAATTATATGGTGATTCCTTATGTGGGTTTCAGGGGCTAATTTAAAGGGTGGGGAAAAAACAAAAACAAAATCGGCTCTCCTTTAAATAACGGTCGCTAGCTGGAAAGCCGACAGTCGCTTAGTCAGAGTGCTCTCCCTTGGCTGCATTGCAAATACGGAGCGTAAAGAGAAAACGAAACAAATGACATACGTACGTGCCATCATACGGTTGTGTAGGGTAGGGTGTGGGTTAGGGTTAGGGGTAGGGTTAGGGTTAGGGGCAGGGTTAGGGTTAGGGGTAGGGTTAGGGTTTGGGTTAGGGTTAGGGTTAGATGTGAAAATTTTGACGCAGGAGTTCCAAATACTGGCCAACAATCTGATGCTTGTGGGAGTGGCGCCACTGGAATTCTCCTAAATATGACGGCAATAGCATGCGGCTGATGCTCAATTGATGGCGAATTGTCCGTTTGTGTAGCATCCACAGTCGGTCAATTGTTTGGGTGTGTACGTAACTGTGCGCGATTATTTGGAACTCCTGCATCAAAACTGTCACATCTAACCCTAACCCTAACCCTGACCATAACCCTAACCCTAACCCTAACCCTAACCCTACCCCTAACCCTAACCCTACCCATAACCACGCAAACTTATCTGTCATTAAGGCATACAGATCTGCAGGCGTCACATCCGTGGCAACTAAGCTGTGCGTTGCAAGAACGTGGTTGCTAATGTGAGTCGGAGCTCGATGTCTAACTGCCATGTTGACCTTGTTTTTGATTCGTGACTTTTCCACTCCGTATTTGCAATGCAGCCAAGGGAGCGCACTCCGACTAAGCGACCGTCGGCTTTCCAGCTAGCGACCGTTATTTAAAGGAGAGCTACAAAATCTATTGTGCCTTATCAAGCAAATTATTAAAAAAAAGTGAAGTAAAGGACCCCTTTCCTTTAGGCGTATAGTGCATATAGGGCTAGACCTATATTTTATAGACCAATGGCACAAGATGGGTGATGTGGTCAGCATCACGCCGGCCGCCTCTACTTTCCGGGTCTGCACCCGGTACCCACTCAAGGATGGGTCAACCTGGGAGCCAAGGTCATGTTTTAAGAAAAGTCCGGCTCCGCCAGGGAGCGAACCCACGACCTTCCGATCCGTCGCACACGTCTAGCCGCTCTGCCACTGCGACTCCCCTAGCAAATTAGAAAAGGCAATAATTAGGGTTTTGTTGAAATCAGAAATGTTGGGCCATGCAGATATCACAGCCTTATTGTAAACCACAACACAAAGTGCCAGTCACCAGTTTAAGGATGAAAGCAGAGGAAAAAATAAGAAGTTTTGAGTATAAGGGTCGTTTCTATCTTTTCATAGTGGGCATGTGCTAGCCTAATCATAGGCAAGGAGAGGCCGTGTTTTGCTTGTCACTTTAAACAAAATTATTTTTATTTTTTATATAGAACTTGTATTATTTGTTCGTGTGATACCTCTTGCCCTCTGCTTTCCCTTCCAGTATGGTTTTTAACAGTATTTCATGTCTTTTAATGCGGACAAAGTATTTCAATTGTCTTTTTTTTTTTTTCCTTCAGTAATTCTGTTTTCATAGTCTTCCCAGAACCTCTGTATTGGACTATTTTTTTCCATGAAATTTGACCTTTACTATAAATCCACATTTCTAGAGACTAAATTTGATTTTTTTCTAGTTGTCTATTTATTGACCAAGTTTCTGCACCATACAGCAAAGTTGAATAAATGAGTGTAAGGACTCATAATCATTGGGGAGTTAACGCAGACTATAGGTTCAGTGGAGGAAAAGAAAAGATGTGCACAAATAAAACCAAATATTTTGACAAGACTTCGTCAGTGAATAGAATAACATAGACTATAAAACAGCAATAAATAGCAAAAAAGATATCATTGAACATAAATACCAAAAAAAAATTAGAAAGGGGGAGAGGTGTTGTGAAATGAAACATGAATGAAGGAAGAAGGACAAATATAATAATGCAATAAATAAGTGATAAATTAGATGTAGTTAAGGTAAACATAGATACTTGTAAGTCTGAGAGTGTCAGAACAACAAATGAGAAAGTTTTCTAAGTTAAGCACCCTGGTTTGACCCCCAGAGCAAAATGTTACGACCGTGACAAAGATGACAATGAAATGTCTATGACAAGTTCTAAATGTTACTAGAAAAAACAGGGTTGGAAATGACAATATTAGGAAGGAAGTTGGGATGGAACCATTACTAAACTACATCAGGAGACCACATATCAAATGGTTTGGATGTGTGTCAAGATTGCCACCAGATAGTACACCACAGATAGCCCTGTCATTTAGACATACTGGAAGCAGAACTAGAGGTCGACCGCACAAACAAAAGATAAAGGAAGTATCCGAGGTCGAAAATACCAACTTCTATGTAGCACACACAAGAAATGCATCCGATGCCTTTTCAAAATCTGGCACTCAAAGACAGAACAGGACCAGAGAAGAAGAGGAAGACAAAGATGTCAGTTTCATTGTGGTGGTCAGAAGTATTGAAATAGATAGAGACTTAGTACGGGTACTCATAATTTACTTTATTGCTACTTATGAAATGTCTTTTATTCCTCAGGTGACCTCATCACCACGAATAAATCTACTGCCACCATAGTCATTCTTTCTAATGATCAAGCTTATGGGGTTTTCAGTTTTGATCAGCCTGCAAATATTCAAGTAGAGGAAGGAAGCACTGCATTTTATACGTGAGTTTTCTAAGTTAAAAAAAATATGCATTAGCTCTGTCAATTGGAGAAGCGTTTTGCAGCTCATACACACATAGGAGAAACAACTGCTTTGAAAAATCATCAGTGCATTACCATGAATGTGACTTATTGTGAAGCTAAAGTGCTCATTGGAACAGCCAAATTTTGTGCGTGCATGCGTGCACGCACGGGTGCGCACTAAGATCAAATATAAAAAGAAAATGTGAGAAAGCTTTACAGGATAGCTGGGACTTATGAGGAAGAATCACTCAGTTATTACACATTGCTCAGGACTTCAAGAATTAAAATTAGTGACAAATAAATGACAAACCGGGTGCTTTCGATACACACATTCAGCCTGTGCACAGATAAACACGGTAACTAGTCGTTAAAAAGTGCCAGTATATTGCTTTTTATCATTATGACAGTTTCATCTTGAATTACATAACACTACTCCATTAGGACTCCAGCTTGCACATTTGTTTTATCTGTTTTGCATTTACATTTAAATACTTCAGTTTGAAACTGAAATAAATAGTTCTGCAGCTTATTATTAGTAATCTGTAAATGAACAGCAGTCCTAAAGAGAATAAAGGGGGTAATATAAATCAAAGTAAAGGTGAGTCATACATCCTAAATGTAGCCATGGATATATGGCATCCCATTTTTTTTTCTAAAATGTGCAATAATTTGAATTGTTTTTCTATAAATCTGTTTGATATTTCTTTTGAACAACTGGTTAGGGAATTTTGAATGCACATGAAAGCCCTCTTTATTTCATATTGCCTTTTCATTAAGATACTCTTCATTTTGTGTATTCTTCTTCTTCACTGTCACTGGCTGTAAACTCTGGTGGAGGTTTGCTGAAAATTGGCTGTTTTGGGGAGCTTGGTTGTAAACCACAACATAACATACCAACTGTCTTTTTAAATGACAAATGAAGAAGGAGACCTTGCAGCTATTTATAGCATACCCATTGTAACTCAGTTTTAATCTTTACTCTAGATATGCAAAGATTTCAGTTTTGCAAATTTTATCACACCTCATGCTATCCATGTATTGGAAGCCGCTGTGGTGTAGCGGCTAGATGTAGTGGATAGATGCTCACTTGCGGATCTGAAGGTCATGGGTTCAAATCCGGATTTATTTTCCAAACATGACCTTGATTGCAAAGTGGACCCAGCCTAAAATGGGTTCCAGGTACAGTCCTGGAGTGTAAAGGTGACCCGCATGATATTGACACATCAGCTATCAAGGTCTAAAAATAATTAAGAGTCTAGAATCATACACAAGATATACCACTGGAGTTTAAAGGGACCTTTACAACTTTTGCTTTACTTTGTCAATGTATTATCAAAATATTACTTTGCCACATTATGGTAAGCCGCCTTGTTTATCAAGACGGTGATCTAGAGTTTGAAATATATTTCTTTTGATGATGAATGGTACAAAAGAATTTCAAACATGTGTTTGAATTAAAAATAGTAAAGTAAGGAAAAAGGTAATAGACCTTTTTACATGCCAGTCATGCATCTGGCATATGCTGTTGCATTCGTAGTTCTATAGACCAGTTGGAACTCATGACTGATGTGGTCAACATCATGCCGGTGTCCTTTTCAAGACATTTTATAGTTTTCTTTCTTCCTAATTTTTTTCCTAATCGTGGAAGGCCTCGCAGCCTTTGATCTCTGGGACGGACCTTTCTGTTCGCTTCATATATAGTTCTTTCCGGTGTCTCTGATATTTCTGCTGGACATCTTCTGCATGGTCGACCTCTGGCTCTGTTACCACTGTATGTGTATAACATTGCTGTTTGTGGTGCCCTGCCTGTTGCAAATCTAGCTAAATGGCTAAACCTTTTTATTTGTTGTCTACAGATAAAGTTCAGTATTGGTTTTATGCTGACTCTCTTACTGAATTCATTGCTCCTAAGTTGATCTTTCCTTGTTACACCTAGCATGACTCGTAAACATTAAATTTCTGTCGTGACTGTTTTTCTTGTTTTCTGAAGACGGTGCCCATGTTTGACATTGATAGCAAAGCATTTCCTGGTACCCATTAGGAAAAGTAAAAATCATCATCATACTTTTTTGCCTTTATACGGCATGTAGGACTTGTAGTTTATTCTTCTATTTTATCCTATTCCATGCTATTATACAAAATTAAAGATGCTTAGTGAAAATGTCAAGAAAATGTATTCTTTTTTATTTTGTTGTTGGTAATGCTTCTTTCAATGTTTTAAACAGTGTGATACGAAACCGTGGTAGTTTTGGATCAGTACGTTTGTACTGGGAGCTGAGATCTCAGAACAACATTGCATTGATACCTGGGGATGACTTTCAGACAACAAGTGGTCAGCTGGACTTTGCTCCCCAAGAGAACACCAAGCAGCTGGGAGTTAGTCCACTAGCTGACAATGTGCCAGAAACCACAGAACAGTTTTTGTTGGTGTTAACTCGGGTTGATGGTGAGTTTGATTAAACTAGTTGACATGGTATTCATATTTGCCACCACGGGGCTCATGATTCCTATCGAGATGTTGAGATTGTTATTTTAGGGAACTTGTATGCATTTAAAATAACAATAAATGATAAAGAAATAGAAAATTTTGATTATCTAGGCTCCAAAATAACCGCAGTTGAGACTGTTCAACCGAAGTCAACAGGGGGATGGTCAAAGCAATAAAAAGATAATACAGGCAATACAAAGATTAAACAGCATTAAAAGTCTATGGTTAAGCACCAGCAAGGAAATCAAAGTCAGAATTTTGAGCAACATACGGATGTGAGTTGTGGACTATCTCGCAGTCTTTAAAGAAAAACAAAACAAAAGATTTAAATCAAAAATATCATTTTCCCATGTGATGAGTGCTTTTCATTTCTTTTACATTTTGATCAAGTATTTGTGTTTGGCCATTATTTTCACAAATACATTAAAAAAAAATATTTATATGGATTGATCTCATCATCATCAAGTGCCTTGCCAACTGGCGTGGGCGATCTTGCCTCTCCATAATCTGCGATCTCCTGTAGCATGTATCAGTTCGTGTGCCGACACACCTCCATGCCATGCAACAAGACTGTCAAACAACTTCTCTTGTTGTCTTCCTCTATCCCTCCTTCCACAGATCTTTCCAGTGGTCACCACATGTTCTATTTTCCCTCTTCTCATAACATGGCTGAAAAATGATGACTTTCTCCTTCTGATGTCTGTGATAAGTTGTCTTCGGGCTCCTCCCTCTTTCAAAACCTCTTGGTTGCTCTTTTTGGCTGTCTAAGGTATTCTAAGCATTCTTCTGTAAAACCACATCTCTGAGACCTCAAGAAATTGTTTGGCCTGCCTACCGATTGTCCAGGATTCACAGTCATTTGTTAAAACTGGATGTATGTAGCAAGCAAGAATTCTTTTTCTAACTCTCAATGACAAGGATATATTGCACATGATGTTTTTCATTTTATAAAATGCAGTTTTTGCCTGTCCTATTCTGTTTCTTATCTCAGTTATGCATCTTCCATCTGATGTTATCCATGTGCCTAGATACTTAAATTTCTGTACTTGTCCTAAAATAACACCATCGACTTTTATTACACATTTAGGAATAATTCATTTCTTTGATACCACCATTACTTCTGTCTTCCCATTATTCAAACTGAGGCCCATTCTTCAACTTTCTAACACCACAATGTCTATCATTTCCTGTAGTTCTTTCTGACTTGTTGCTATCGAGACTGGTATTGATCTACAATGTGCAAAAAAGCAGTTGTTATAGAAGGAACTTATAAAATTTAATTTTAGAAAGAACTTACAGTTAACTTAATTAAGTTATATAAATAGTACAGAAATAACTTCACTACTGTCATAACATTATGGCCTTGTGTGAAATAACAAAATCTAAACCCATTTGTTGTGTCAATGCAGCTCTAGATGGCAGAACTGATGGAAACTTAGCATCACTTGCTACAAGTGGTACAATAGCCACGGTAAGAGTGACTTCAAGTGATGATCCCTATGGGCGTTTGGCCTTTGCAAAGGATTCTCAGGATTTAAGCATTGCTGAGGACTTTTACCCAGGCTATGAAAGTAGCACACAGGCTGTATTTACTGTAGAACGAAGACAGGGTACACAGAATGAAATCAAGGTAACCATTCTTGTGTTTGTTTTACATTTATAATAGCTCTTAAAGAACACACAAGTTTTGCATAATGTAATGAGGGGCTTTTCTCTTTTTGAGATTCCAGATTCTGTAGAAAGTTTAAAGAATTGTGATTTCAGATTGTTGTTTTACAAACTGTGTTAGGATTGCAAAGAGTTAGATCACTTTTGTAGCACTGTGGCTAGCATATTTACTGGCTTAGTAGACGTGTTCACCAGTGGTGTAAAAAAAAATTTCTGAGGAGTTTAGGAAAAGAAAGATGGCTGATCAGATAGTGGCCACATCATCTATACAGTGCTAGTTCTTCTTCTTCTTCTTCTTCTTCAGCATTCCAAGCCCTTGAGGTTCATTGCTGCAGATATCATCCACCTCCATTCATCTCTCTGGTTGGTCTTCTCTTTCCAGAGAGTGACACTAAGGGTTTGCAGGTCTGTCTGGATATTATCTTTTCATTGTCTTCTTGGTCTGCCTCATGGTCTGTGACCATTCATCTCCTTTGAGTACACAGTTTTCACTTCTCTGTCATCTGACATTTTCTCAATATGCCCCAACCATTTCAGTCTATTAGCTCTCATGATGACAGTGATCAGTGGGAATTTGAACAGATTATGAATTTTGTTGTTGTTTCTCACTCTCCGATCCCCACTGCATCTGTGATGGGTCCAAAGATTCGCCGTAAGACTCTGTTTTCGAAAACCTGTAATAAGGCTTCATCTCTTTTAGTTGTGCTCCAAGTTTCAGAGCCATATAAAATGACTGGTCTTATCAGATTTTATATATTTTAATCTTGGTGTTGCGAGGCAAGACACTTTGATTTTAGCAGATGTTAAAGGGCATAGTATACTTTATTTCCAGATTGTATTTCTTCTTTCAGCATGTCGAGCATTTGAAGTTTGCACCCAAGTACTTGTGTGTATCTGTTCGTTTCATTTTCATATTATCGACTTGTATGTGGCCGGAGTTTATATCCTTTCCCTGTCTAGTTATTATCATGTATTTTGTCTTATCTTGATTAATAACTAGTCCCATTTTCTGAGCTAATTCTTTTAAGAGAGTCAGTGTTTTAACAGTCACTAGTTCATTTTCTCCAACGATATCAATGTCATCTGCATATCAAAGTATTCTTGTAGATTCTCCTATAGCAACTCTTGTTTCAGTTTCCTTATAATTTTCTCCAGGGCCATGTTGAAAAGAAGTGGGGACAGAGCATCACCTTGCTTAAAACCATATGTTTTTTTAAAAAGGTCTGACTTTCTGCCTTTATATATTACTATATTACAAGTGTCTTCCATGCATAGTTCGGTCATGGTAATTAACTTCTTTGGTATTCCAAAATCCTTCATAGCATTCCATAAACTGTATCTATGTACACTATCATATGCCTTTTTAAAATCCACCAAAACATTATGTACGTCTCTTCTTTATTCCCAATTTTGCTCTGCTATTTGCCGTAAAATGAATATCTGATCTGTTGTTGATCTGTTCTGTTGGAAACCTCATAGTAATCTCCCAATCTGTCTTCATTGTATAGTTTTAGCCTGTTTAGCAGTACCGTCGATAGTATCCTATAGCTTGTAGATAAGTGATATTCCTCTATAATTTTCTTACTTAACGTTGTCTCTTTTAAAAAAAATGGGTAATAATAAAAAGTTCTGCCAAGTGTGCTAAGAGAGGGATCAATTCTGCCACTTGAGAGTGTTAGGTTCTGCTATGTGAAGTTAAAGAGAGTTATATTCTACCATGTGTACCTAGAGAGGATTTGGTTCTACTAGAGAGGATTAAATTCTGCCATATGTGCTTAGAGAAGGATCAGAGTTGGCTTCTGCTGTTTGTGCTTAGAGGTAGTTTTGTTCTGCTGTGTGTACTTAAAGAAAGTTGGTTGCTGGGATTTGTGCTTTAGAGAGAGTTGGTTTCTACTATTTAAGATGCTGAAAAACTACACAGCTCCTCCCACCCCCTCCTCTTCCCCCACCAAAAAAAAAAACTGGAAAGATGTGCTGATTTATTGATGTTCTAAATAAATGGATATGTTCTGTCTACTTTATCATTTATTGACTTGTAATGGTTCTGCTTTTGTTTGTACTGCTTTTATATTCAGTTTATAGATATCTCTTTTGTTTTTATTAATTACTAACACAGTTGATCTACTAAAGCCACTTCTAATTTGAAGCAGTTTGCTATAACCCTATGTGTTATTACCTGTGTGTTATTAATACAGTTTAAAAAATATTAAACAGACATTATCATTACTTCAGCATTATCCATTGTTTTCAGGTCTTGTGGGAGATTTTTTCAGACCAACTGGCTGGAATTCTTCCAGCAATTCATGACATGCTGTTCACTGGCCGTTGGCCAAGTGCTATGTCACAGGCACAGTCAAAGCAGAGAGCAGGAACATCTACTCCTGTTGCACAGTTTTCAGGGTCTGCAGGTAAGTTTCTGTTTACTCAAAGCTTCTTCATCATCTTCAGTCAACAGGCCCTCTACAGAATGTTGCTCTTGTCTCATGGCCCACCGAAAAGTCTCTCTGTCTTTAGCCAGTTGTCTAGCCCTCTATGCTTTCAAAGCCACTGTTTTCTGGTCACTTTCATGGAAGTCTGCCACTGCCTCATCTTCTGGAAACTACCATCCATTACCACTCTATCCAGGCCACCATGACACTTAAGATGGCCAAAATACCTCAGCTTTTGAGAAAGGATGCTGTTGTTGTTGTTTTAGCAAGTTTTCCTTGATGTTCAGATCATGTGGCATGTCAGGGATTTTCTTCTTCCTGGTCCATGGTATTCTTTGTGTGTTTCTCATTCAGATCACATCTCTGTCTCTGCATATTCTGTTATTTTAGTCATGTTATTTTATAAGGTGAGCTGATCAGGTAAGGGTTGTAACAAGAGGGAGAATTGAGTGTATTATGGATGAAAATACTTGATTTTTTTTTTTTATGGCTCAGAAGATGATCAAACTTGTGTTGAGTAAAGACCCGAGAGTGCAAACTTAGGACATTTCCAACAGTGCTCCATCTTCAGCAGCAATTGTAGAGTTCCAATTGTGATAATCCCAGTAGCGGTCTGATTGTGTTTCTGTATTGACTTTCCTTGGAGTGTTGAGTCTCTTCCTGTGTGGGTTCCAGGGCTTCTTTTGGAGAACACAGAATAGACCCTGCCCTCCTAACAGACATGTCACAGGAGGTGACAAATTAGTTTTTTTCTTGTCTGAGTCAGAGTGCATCTGCCAGAGAGGCAAGAAACCATAAGTTTGCTCACAAATAAGCCAGGTCTGTAAAATGAGTGTCATGTTAAGCTCAAGTTCTGGATCAAAACCAGAATCCAGGAGTGGACAAACAAACATAACTTTCTACTGGAATTTACAGCCGGTTAGTGATAAAAAGAAGAAAGACAAAATAGAGTGTAAGCCAGATCCCCTGGTCACTCCCCACTGCACCATTCTATTTAATGAGTGCATGAAACATTGATATCACTGGACTCGGGACATTCTTGCACCTGCTCCTTCTCCTTCGTAGCCAACAAAGAGTCGACATTCTAATAGTACCAGTTGCAACCTGATTCAAAGCCGGCCTATGATTTATCCTCAGTATTAAATATCTTCCAGAACCTCTACCCCCCCCCCCCCCAATTGAATTAGTATTTCAGTGTATGGATTTTCTGTCTGTTTCATTGCACTGTCCATTTGATCCCAGAGAACCTTTACTACATCCGCTTTATCATAAAGTAGCTCAGCTTTCAGAGGAGCGGCGGCAGCTAATCTAATAACTTGCTCGTTACCTCTCACATCTGAATATCCTTGACAGGAATCCATGACATGCTTCTGCTGTGAATCTTATCAAGAGATGCAAATCACAAAGTTCTGTTGAAACCAAGCTGATCAGATTTCAAACTTCAACACAGAAGACAGATATTTATGCAGAAATAGGATCACTTGTGCCACCAAACGTTCACATAATGATTATTTTTATTCTGTGAGCAAAAACTTGCTAAAATACTTACTCAAAAAATACATTTTAAATCCTCAAGTCCTCATCTCTGAAAGTGTAGCATTTATGAGTTTTCTGGCATGTGTTTTTCTACCGACCTTGCAAATAATATGGTAGACTATACAGAGAGACAGAAACAATAATCTGAAAAACCAGCACACGTATAAACTTAACCCAATTTTGCAGCTCCTGGTTATTTCAACAGAGATTAAAAGGCAAAAAATTAATGCTTCCAGCTTTAGTTTACCAGTTAAATATTTGAACATTAAAAAACGAATATGAGAGAAGACTAACCACTTCTAAAATGAGATATCTGAGAAATGTGGCAAACAAAACCAGAAGAAATTGTGAGAGAAATGAAGAGATAAGAAGAACTGAAGAAACAAAAACTATATTTAGTTATTCACTGAGAAAAAACTGTTATGTCTCATCAGCTTGGTTGGAATGAATCTAACAGTGCTGGTAGCGAGAACTTAAGCATGAAAATGTAAACACTGACAAAGGGAGACCTAGAAGAATATGGATTGAAGAAGTCATTGAAAGCCTAAAATTTCACAAAATCACAGAATACCAATCAACGAAGCTCACTATAGCCTGACTATCTGTCATCAGTTAAAATGCAATGCCTGGTGTCATAAAGCAGCTTTTGACAAAAGAAGAAAGAAATTGCAAATGAAGGACATAGTAATAACGATGCATAGGAACCCCAATATACAAAGCACACAAATATGCACTCCATCTCTGTTTATAATTTAGCTTGACACGCTGAGGGACGCTCATCTGTGGATCCAAAAATCATCGGTTCAAATCCGCATGGAGCAGGATTTTTTCCGTAATGACTTTTTTTTTACCAGATTGACCCAACCTTAAACGGGTCCAAAGTAAAGTGCTGGGAAGTTAAAGGCAGCCGGCATGATGTTGACCACATTATCCATCAAAGGTTGATTGGTCTATACAAATATGAATCTAGTCTCATATACCAGATAAGCATGTGGGAAAGACCTTTGTTTTTTTATTTTTATTACCACTCCAAGGTACAAGAGAACCAAGATTAACTGTTTTTCTAGCCAATTTAATTGTAGTATTACCTTTGTGATATGCTTGCAGGTCAATATATAGTGGTACCTATAGAGGCCTGGCCTGCTTTAAAACTGGTCCCTGATGGCTTCTCATTGTCTGCATGGTTGCAGCCTTTGGCAAGTACAGATGGGTATATTTTAGCCTATGCTACTGAGAATGGCAACACAGACTATCTAAGTCTCAGGGTAACTGTAACAGAGACAAAAACTACTTTGGGTCTTCAAGTGTCTACAGAGATGCAGGTAAGGTGTTATTTTAATTACATGATAGTGAGAATTTGGTTTGATGGTCGAATATTCTTCTTTTTATAGTCAATATCATAAAGTTAAATGAGTGATTATGGCAGACATTTATATGTTGTTGTTGTTGTTATCATTCACCGGCTGTAAACCCTGGCAGAAAGACCTGGTTGTTTGTCCATTTCTGGACTTTGGCTTTGTTCCAGGACTTGAGTTTTGCATGTGCATATATTTTACAAATCTTTATAAACAGACTTTTGGTTCCTTGCCTCTCAGGCAGATGCACTCCAACTTTGAAGGAAGCCCCCCACCCTCCCCCAGTTAGTTGACTCTTACGACATGCTTGATTGATGAGTTAATATAATAACTGAGATAGCAGAATTAGAGGACTGCAGCAAAGCTGTAACAGTCTAAACAAAATTACATGAGATAGGGAAGTGAAAGGATAGAAAATGGTAAGAAAAACAATATACATGTCAGCTTTACAAAACCACCTTCAATAAACAAACAGAGAATGTTGCGTTGATTAGTCTTCATCAGTAGAACAATGACAAGAAACAAAACACAAGACACCAAAAAAAAAAGGAACTATGTAATACTTATCTGGACCACTCTGTGTGGTTTAGGAATTATTCACATTTGCAGTGTACTGCATCGCTGTCATAGTCTGTTCATTACTGATTCATTTTTGTTAAAAAGCTCACATGTGTGAAAATTTTATGTGAAAACATTTCCCTGTAATTTTTTTCTGTTAAAATTATATATTTTAATGTTTCACTCTTTTAGTGAATTTAGTGTACAATTTTAGGGACACTATAAAATTCTTTCAGTTTTTTCCTGGTGGGTTCTGGAGCCCCATTGTGGGGGAAAGAGGGAAGGGGATTATAACAGACCTATTGCTCCCAACAAGCATGTCACAAAAAACAACTAATAGGGATGTTTCCTTTGAAGTGAGTGTATCTACCAGAAAGGTGAGGAACCAGCAGTCTGCCACATCTGTAAAACATATGTGTATGCAAAACTCAAGTTCTGAAACAAAAGCTGTCCAGAAGTGGACGGATAACAAGAACTTTCTATCAGAGTTTACACCCAGTGAGCACTAAGCAGAAGAAGGAGGAGAAGAAGAAGTTCTTTAAGTATGAAAAAGTAAATAATTTTATTTATTTCTGATGTTTTAATTGTTCTCATTGGTTTGTTGTATCTTCTTCTTCTTCTTCTTCTTCTTCTTCTTCTTCTTCTTCTTCTTCTTCTTCTTCTTCTTCTTCTTCTTCTTCTTCTTCTTCTTCTTCTTCTTCTTCTTCTTCTTCTTCTTCTTCTTCTTCTAATTAATATAGTAATTACGAACATTTGCCATTCAGTCTAATCAGCAGGTGATTGTAGAAACCAGCATTCTGATTAGAGATGGAAACTGGCATCATGTTTTTGTGGCTGTGGGAAGTGCATCAGCCAGTTTTTACATGGATGGACAATTAGCAGGTTCACGGTAAGTTTTGAAAGTATTTTTATATCCCCTTGTTGTAAATCATAAAATATTTGGGGATCTTGTTAGAATGCAGCAATACAACTTACCAACACAAGTGCTACACCTAAGCACACACACAAAATCTTATATAAAAGCAAGAAAGTGCTCAAGAAAAAGATGGATTGATGACATTCAAGACATTGTACATTTAAATGGAATAAAAAAAGTCTCCCTGTGTGGATTCCAGGCCCAATTTTAGGGGTGGGGCATATGGAAAAAAAAGGGGGAGGGGGGTGGGATATATATATTGCCTCCCTGTCAACCATGTTGTAAAAGCCAACTAATTAGTGGTTTTTCCTCTGAAGTCGGGGTGCTAGTGACTGAGAGGAGAGGAGCAGTCTGCTTACAAATAAGTCAGATCTATAGAACGGATGTAGAGTAAAGGTAAAGTAAAGGACCTTTTTCCACATCACTGATCATATTTGGCATATAGGGCTAGATCTGTATATTATAGTCCGATCAGCACTTGGTAGATGATGTGGTCACCGGCTGCCTTTACTTTCCAGGACTGTACTTTTAAGGCTGAGTCAACCTGGAAGCCAAGATCCTTTTTCAAAAAGTCCAGCTCCACCAGAACCGAACCAAAACGAATGTGCTCTCAAAATTCAAGTTCTGAAACAAGACTAAAGCTCATAAGTGGATGAACAGCTATGCATTTTCTGCTGGAGTTTACAGCCATTGGAAACTAAGAAGAAGACTAAGAATGACAAGCTAATGCCATTCACTGAGCTCTGGGATAATTGATTACTCTATTTCCCTTGGTTTAAGATGGTCACAAGGGAACATAATGATGGTTACCTAGCACACACACACAATCACAAATAAATTCATTTGTCACATTTTGTATCTGCCCAGGTCTGTCATTGGCACAACAGTTTTGAATGGTTCTGGACTGGTGTTTGTTGGAGCTCAGCCTCCAGGATCCAGTTTGTACACTGGCTATATGCAAGATGTTCGACTGTTTATGAAAGCTATGGATGTTAAGTGAGTTATATGAATATTTTCTTTCAAGTTTCTACAAACAACCCTGTGCACTAAACTCAGTAAAGATGGCACAGAAGAATAGTTGTTAGGATTTTGGCTATATAGCTTAGAGTTTAGTGAATATGTTTCATAATCCTTAGTAACCAGGATTTGATTTCTGTGGGCAACCATTTAGAGGATGACCATCATTGTAGCTTTCAGACAGTGTTCCAATATTCAGTTATTTTCACTTATCTGAACTTTAGGTGTTTTTTTGGGTTGATTCAACCTTATATAAATGGGCACAAAAATATTGTGAGAAATTTCTGGGAATTTGTTCTTACACTTGGTCTACACATACATATATATTGTGCAGCTTTTTGTATTTTTAAGTTGTTTATCATTTACAGGACTCCTGGTGTGGGTTCTGGGGCCCCATTGTGTGGAAAACAAGAACTGACCCACTTCCTTCCCAGTAAGCATGTTGTAGGAGTTGACTAAGTGGGAACTTTGAAGGAATCCAAGCCAGTAAAACGTATGTCCACACAAAACTCAGACCCTGGCACAGAGCCAAAGTCCAAATGGAGGAACAAACAGAACTTTCAGGAGGAGCTTACAATCGGTGAGCAAAGAAGAAGAAGAAGAACAAGATTTACAGCACATTGCAGAACTAAACCCAGCATTTATGGGCTGGTTGGGGTTTAACTAAGCAATTTTCTGTTCACCTGTAGTTGAACCCAGCACCTCGTTATTACGAAGCATGTTCTCATTGCCTGATCCACAGAGGCTGATATGTTATTAATAGCTGCACTTATGGGTCAGTTGATACTCGGAGGGTCATGTGGTCAGTCTCACACCAGCTGTCTTTATTACCCATGAGGTTTTAATACCTAGTTTAATCTAGGTTGACTTGGGAGCCCAGGTCAATTGTAAACAAATAGACATTCAAACCCGTAACTACTAGGCTTGCAGACAAGTATGCTCACTATTCCATTTATGTAAGAGGTGATCCTACTAAACATAAAATTGCTTAGTAAAGCCATAACAGCTAGCAGATGCTGAATTTGGTGGTGCAGTGTCAGGTAAAGGATACACAACTATTTTAGGAGGCCATCATTCATTAAAATATTCAGCAAGGAGGAAATAGAGGGTCTGGATGGTTTTCAGTGTACAGGGAATACAAGACAAACATTTAACCAAGTTGCAACTGGCATTATCAGTATCAGAACTTTTTATTGGCTTCTGAGAAATTGGACAATTTATGTGTGGGAATGTTGGGAGTGCAGTGATGGTGTCACTTCTGAATTGATTCATTCATTCACTCATGTATTCATTAATTAAAATGTGAATGAAGTTTCTTTTGTTTCACAGTGCAGTGAATGAGCTCTATCAGTCTTCCCCGTACAAAGACCTCACATTAATATCTGGAATCTTATCCTACCCTTCTGGAGTTAAAAATCAAAGTTTTACAGTTGCATCTCGTCAAGACATAGAAGAAGAAGGAAAAGAAGTCTTTGCTGTAATCTTGCTGGATACCACAGGGGGTGCTTCTCTTGCAGTTCCAGATTCACGCACAACACTAACAGGTACAATTCATTTGCTCTGTACAATTTATTTAATTTTTGTACTTTTAATGTACCACTAGAGAAACGACTAGCCTGGTGGTTAGAATGTAAGGCTCTTATGTGGGAGACGAGGGTTTAAATCAGTATGATGGAAATTTTTCTGTTGTAGACAAAACAAATCCTCCTGCACAGCTCATAGCAGTTACACTAGCAGATTGGCTCCAAATCCTCATGTTCATGGTCCCCCTATACACTGCCCTAAAATATATATACAGGCAGTCTTCTTCTTCATCTTCATTTTCTCTTTCACCACTGCAGTTCTCGAGGGAGATAAAAGGTGCTGCTTCAAGCTTTTCTGATGGGCTCAACCATAGGAACGTTGTGCTGCTGTAGTTCCTCTGATGTTATCTTTTCATAATTTTCTTGGCCTGCCTTGTGCTTTACTTTCTTCTACTTGTTTAGTCTGTGCTAAACAGGCATGTATGGCATTACAGGCACTCTCTCTAAATAGGCATAACATTTGATTTGCTTTCTTTGTATGACTGACTGACTGACTTTCTACCCCACCAGGACATCACACAAGCATTAAACACCCGATGACACAATGTGCCACCATGTGGGTGAGGATCACCGTGGAGAGGTCCCAGAAACCGCGTTTAGGCAATATTTATGGCCAGGCTATATTGCAGCCCCTGGCAAATGCCAGAGTAGGGCTTCTAATAACGAAAAATTTCATCCTAAAAAGGACGGGGAGTATACACAATTTCTTTGTATGTAATTTAGAACTAGTTCTGTGCTGTCTTTTTATCTTGTGACCTCAGTTCTGATTTTCATATTTCAGATATAGGCAGTAAAGACTCATTTGTATGGGTGCCAGCTTTGTCTTTTTAAAGAAAAATTCAATTATATGGCACCAGTTTAGTGTTGATTCACGAGTTGTCTTGTATTTCCTAATAGCCTTCACAGTCTTGCAACTCAGTGCTTTAATGCAAATCTATGTTATCCTGAGGAAGACAGTTATCTCAACCATATTATAAAATTCAAAATAGGAGTTTATGTATGTTATACCTTTGTTTTAGTCTGTCTGTCTGTGTTTTTCCTAGGGAATTGCTACCTGAAGATTTGTTTATCCCTGAGACTTCAAGAGTTTCATCCAGGGTGGCAGACCAACAGCTCAAATCCCAGATACATAAAACCTCCACAAGAGCACTCATAACAGCTACACCAGGCTGATGTAAATCATTTGTTTAAAAACTGGGCTAGAACCTATTATGGTGGCCCAGCAAACCAAGCAGTTTTTTTGTCTGTTTGTTTCTTTGTTTGCTAGTTGTTAATTTGCAGTTTTTTTTCTTTTCAGTTCTGAAAAGTGACAATGCTAATGGACTGTTTGGCTTTTCTGGGCCATGTGAACCACCACGAGTCCTAAATGAGAATGGAACGGTAATCTGCCCAGTACAGCGTACACGAGGAGATGATGGCACTGTCAGTGTGTTCTGGGTGGTTAATGAAATACAGGGGCAGACGTTTCAGCAAGCTGCAGCTGATTTTGATCAAAGCAATGGAACAGTTGTCTTCTTGCCTGGAGAAAGACAAAAGGTTATTTAATAAACTATGAGTGTTCTTTTATATATAAAATAACCACCCAAAAAATGCATTTATTTAATTTCAAGAATATATTGGTGAGTTTATCTTCTGTAGTTAAGGGGATGAGAATATTGTTTTCAATTCTAAAATACTTGTTTATTTTCAACCTAACTATAAGTGTTATCTTATATATAAAATTACCCCCCCCCCCCCCCCCCATATTTTTAAAATTTATTTTTAAGGATTAAAGCTTGGACAGTGGTCAGCTGTAGCTTAGTGGATAAGAAAATGGTTTGTTATTCTGAGATACCCAGTTTGCTTCTAGCTGTGAGCGATGTGGCAGCAGACCACTTTGCACCTATTTCATTAATGGTGTTAAGAGCTGACCGTTTAGGAAACAGTGGCAAACTACTGAACATAAAATAGCTTGGGTTGGTTTGTAGTGTCCTCTAAAACATACACACCTAACTCTTTTAAAATACTGCCATTCCTGCCAATATTTATCATTTTTATGGAGTAGGCGAGGAGGGGGAGATGTGAGGGGACATTTTTTTAGCCTGAGGATTTAAGGCTGCATGGCTATTGATGTTGCCACTGAATGTGCCGGTAAGGATTTTATTTTTGCCCCCAACAAACAAAAACCCACAACCTGACAGAGGATTTGAACCGAACCTGGGTTTCCTGCATCAGAGCCCTGTGACCTTAAACTATTTCTTTAATGTAGCTAAGTGAGAAGTAGCTTTTTAATCATGTTTTAGAGTCACTGCTGAAATATTAATGGTGACTTAACAAGATAAGGCAGTCACCAGGCAGACACTTGTTACTACTGTAGAGACAGGAGTGACATAAGAACATAAACAAAGGTCATATTACCAGATGAGGTGGCTTTTTTCTCTGTCTTGCTGTCATAGGATACAGTTAGTTATACTAGAAGGGAGGTGTAGTAGGACAGTGGCTAGACAGCATACATCCCTCCATGGTAGTCTTGTATTTGAACCCCCCTCAAAGTGAGAAATGAAAACAAATTAACCTGGATGATAAAATATGTATAATTTTCTTCTCCTTATTTGGAATCAGCATCATGTTAGGCCAGTTTTATCTGTAATATGGATTACATACAGGGTAATAAAGTCTGTATTGCCCTTTTTTTTAAAAACTTTACAGCTTTTACTTTCCCAGAGCTTTACTACACATTTTTGTGAAGCTAGTCAACTGCAGAGCTGTACTAGTTGGAAAACAAATACAAGCCTTGTTTCCACTAGGAAAAGAATCTGACAGAATTGACTGAAAACTTGCTTGCATTCAACTTTTATATTTCATATTTTTGAACCACAGTATTTTTGATTACAAACCTTAGTGCTTCATGTAACCAGTGAGATAATACCAGAGTTGGATGAGTTGTTAATATACATATAATGCTTCTGAAGTTGATTTGATTGGATCCACTGACACTATCATTTGCTGCTTTGGGGGGTGGGGGGGGGGGCGCAATGACAGAGCTCTGGTGGACAACAGATGGGGAGAAAAGATGTTTACAACTTAACGAAACCTGAAGAAGGACAGTAGGCAGGAAAGTGGAGTATAAACTAGCAATGGATAGTACGGAAAGAAAAGAAGCAGACCAGCAGCAAAGGAGATCACTTGTAAATGCCTTGTCACGAAAAACATAAAAAAGATAAAGAGAGATATTTGTTACTTTAGAGCTTTTACTTTCTCGATGCTTTGATACCCGTTTATGAAGTTAATCTTAATGCTGTACTAATTGAAAAACTAACTGAACCCTGTTTCCTATAGAGATTGAACCTGATACTTCCTGTGAGGGTTCTGGGGCTCCATTGTGGGGGATAAACAGAACAACTTCACTGTCTCCCTAACAAGCATATCATAAAAGTAGACTATTTAGGAGTGTTCTTTTTAGTGGGGAGAGAGGGAGAGAACCAAAAGTCTGCATACAAATAAGCCAGATCTGTAAAACTGATGTGGTCGCAAAACTCAAATCGTGGAGCAAGACTAAAGACCAGAAGTGGATGAACAACCAGAGCATTCCGCTATAGTATACAGCCGGTAAACATCAAGAAGAAAAAGAAGAAAAAGAAACTGCAACAGAAGCTTTCCTATTAAGTCATATATTTCAACATTTTGTTGTTTTACAAATCATCTGATGTCTTTTTCTTCAGACTATAGAGCTTCATGTAACAGATGAGACAGTACCAGAGCTTGATGAGCTGTTCAGTGTTCAGCTAACATCTGTCGCTTCAGATGATGGCTTGGTTGGCTCCACCAATACTAGCGGTGCAAGTATTGACAGCTCACGAGCAAGTTCCCAAGTAGTTATTCAAGAAAATGACTACCCTTATGGCCTTTTGCAGTTTTCAAATAAGCCTAATGAAATCCCTCCAGTCAATGTAAGAATACAGCCAACATCCAGTGAGGCAGAAGTAAGCGTTACATGTCTTTGTTTTATGTGTTTCTCTGAAATTGTTCCTTTTTTTAAGTCCACTGTGTAGTTTTTGTTTAGAAAGTATGCTATTAAACAAATGTAGTTTTATTATTAAAGAATTTACTTTTCATTATACAATTGAGCTTAGTCTAAGCCATCTTATTGAAAAGTAAAACTACATACATACAGAATTTCAACATTCTAACAGACTCAACCACATAGTCACTTAGTAAAGTGAAAATGGTGCACTACTGAACCCAACGAAGGCAGCAGTGACATAGTTTTCTTTGAAAAAAAAAAGCCATATTGTAAAGACTCCAACCCCAGCCTACAGTCTGTGCCAAGAGAAGTGGAAAGAAAACAGGCAGTGACATACCCAAGGTTACAATTTTATTGAAGCCTTATTTATACTGAGCTCAATAGACCATGTGTTAATGAAAGACGAGCAGGGGTTGGCTCGAGTGAGAGTAGTGGCAGCTGCAAACTGACCAGAGCCACCTGTGTCATCTATGCCAAGGACTGGTCCTTTCTGCTTTTTGAATATGCAATGGCAATCCTGACTGTCAGCCATAAGCAGATGAAGATGATGGAAAGGATACAGAGTCGGGCCGTGTGTATTTTACTTGGGTATAATGAGATACAGCATGTAGGGTGATGTGCAGCCTTCCAACCATGGGGGGAAGAATGCAGATTTGCTGAACACATTCCTACCTTCAAGACAGCACAGACACACAGCATTCACGGCATAATGAAATTAAAAAGAAAAAGAGCAGCAGGTTAAAAAAAAAGTATCATGAATAGGTAAAGACAAGACATTATTCAATAGTTGTGTTTACCTGAGAACATAGAACCAGCAAGGAATGGGCTTAAAAGCCAATAGAGTGCAGTACATATTTTTCAGTATGCATCTGACTAGACAGAAAACGCAGGCAATAAAATCAGGCGGCAGTGCAAGCAGAAGTTCACTTTTGGTCTGACTGATTCAATGTGCAACTAAGATGTTCTGTTGAAAAACTAACTAGTATTTCAACAGTTACATACTGTATTTAAGTCACACAACCACATACCATATTTTAGCAGTTACAGCTACCTACTGTCCTGTATTGCATTTACAACTAAATACTGTACTGTATTACATTGCAACACTTACAACTGCACACTGTAATGTATTGCGACATGAATAAACTACATACTGTACTGCATCATTTATAAACTATATACTGTATTGCAACAGTTACGACCAAGGTCAAGTGTATTTTACAATGAGAAGAAACAGTCAGCCCATCTTATCTAAATCAGGTTCAAGTGAGTGAAGAGGGAGGACTTGTGCCCCTTGTTGTTCAGAGAACTCAGGGATTGCTAGGAACAGTGCGAGCAGAATGGAGAACCAAGGATCTCACAGCATTTAGTGAGGGCAAGTCTCCACCAGATTATGTGGTAAGGCATATTTTTTCATTTGGGTATCTAGGTGATGTCTAGAGTCACAGAGTACTAGAATTAATAAAGGTAAATATTTTTTTCTTTGTCTTAGCCACCACCAGCTGAAACTCTGGTTGTTCGTCCACTTCTGGATTTTGATCTTGTTCCAGAAATTGAGTTTTGTATGCACATTCATTTTACAGATCTGACTTCTTGTGTATGAAATTTCTTATCTCTCAGGCAGATGTTCTTCAAAGGAAACACCTCTGATTAGTCTCCTCTCATGTCATGCTAGGTGGGGGGGGGGGGGGGGGGGGGGGGGAGTCGGCCTTTCATTTCTCCCAATAAATGAGGCCCAGGAACCCACACAGGGAATAAGGGCAAATATTATATAACATGTATTATTGTGTTTCAGTACCTATGTTCAGAGGGCAATAAAATAAATAGTAATTAATTATTTAGTATGTTTTTTTTTTAAAGCACTAGCATATTATTAGTTGTTGTAAATATTAGCTAATAGAATCTTTTGAAAATTGGTGTATGGACTAAGCATCATTAGGGCTATTAGTCCGCATTGGTTGGGGCATATACAGAGAATGGGAGATAGCAAACAAGCAAAAACTATATATAAAAGAGTTTAATATGATTAAACCACAAGGCAGACCAAGAGGAGGTAGAAAGATTACATGCAGAGTCACCGGCTGTATAGAGAATTGAATGTGAGTAGACTATGAGTCGTACCAAGAAGAATTAGAGAGATAGGAATAAACTCCACAGGGGAGCATGTACAGCAGGGATCTACCAATCGTCAGTAGAAGTAATCTCTCGTCGACAAACGTTTCGGCCCACGAGCTCCTAGACGTTTTCAGAGAGTGGGCCCACCTGAGTTCATGAAGCTCAGGGTTGGTTTCCCTGCTGCACGAAATTACCGGATGGTGTTCGGAAAGGGACAAGACGACTTGGTGATTTGCAGAAGGTACTGTGAGATAAGAAGTTGTCGCGGTAGCAAAATTAGAGCAGTCTGCGTACCTGGACGACAGAGCGACAAGCTTACGATTGGTATACCGGACACATGTTAGACTTTTGTTAGCAGAGGAACACTGGCAGACAATTCGGACACGATGGACTTTCAAGGGATGAGAAACTCTTTTCCACTAGACACCCGGACCAGCTCACTGAGGCCCGTCCCCTACGTTTTTCCGTTGCGTCCAAAGCCAGCTCAAGGCCCTCTCAGCAACCTCGCCCAGCCGTTTCAGTGTCTGTTTCCGTTCATTACCACGCAATCCTAGTTCTTTAACCACATTGTAGAGTGAAGTGGAGACGAGACCTCTCGCTCCCACTTTTACGGCAAAGACACGTACTGTGTACGCCTCGTCTCTCCTCAGACCGGCTGCTAAATCACTGTATTTCTCGAGCTTATACATGTGATTTTCATCCATACGTGAATCATACGGGACGGTCAGCTCAATCAGGATGAGCTGCCGTTTCTCCGCAGAGTGGAGAACTATGTCAGGTCGCAGGCCAGTCTTCCGGATTAACTCAGGGTACCTTTCATGGCCTGGCAGATCAACCGCCAGTAACCAGTCCCTCGCAGAGTCTAGCATAGATGGAGCGTATGCGTTTTTGTTGATTCTACCTTTGTGAATTTGCCCAGCCTTGAGGAAACGTATGGGGACGATGGTAGGACTGGCCCTAGCGTTGGCCCGCATCCTAGCCTGGTCAACAACGGCTGCTAACTCTTTTAGCACCTTGTTGTGTTGCCAGGTATATCGGCCTTGACCTAGGGCTTTCCTGCATGCGGACAGAACATGTTCTAGAGTCTGCTTCGCTTTGCATAGCGGGCAAGTCGGATCGTTAGTTGCAGACCATTTAACCATGTTAACACCGGACGGTAATACATCGTACGCCGAATGAACGATAAAGCTCAGTCGCAGCGGGGTCATTCGCCAGATCTCACCCCATGTGAGTACTCTTGGCAATGCGCTCTCCAGGCTGACCCAATGGCCCTGCTGCGAATGTTGGGCTGCTTTCTGGAAACGAGTCAGACCTAGAAGGGCTAGAGAGATACTATACAGACAGACCTACAAACAGAGTCACCGGCTGTATAGAGAAGAGTTGAATGTGAGTAGACTATGATTTAGACCTAGAAGAGGTTGAGAGATACTATACAGACAGACCTACAGACACTTGGAGTCACCAGCTGTATAGAGAAGAGTTGAATGTGAGTAGACTGATTTAGACCTAGAAGAGGTTGAGAGATACTATACAGACAGACCTACAGACACTTGGAGTCACCAGCTGTATAGAGAAGAGTTGAATGTGAGTAGACTATGAGTCAGACCTAGAAGAGCTAGAGAGATACTGTACAGACAGACCTACAGACACTTGGAGTCACCAGCTGTAAAGAGAAGAGTTGAATGTGAGTAGACTATGAGTCAGACCTAGAAGAGGTAGAGAGATACTATACAGACAGACCTACAGACACTTGGAGTCACCAACTGTAAAGAGAAGAGTTGAATGTGAGTAGACTATGAGTCAGACCTAGAAGAGGTTGAGAGATACTATACAGACAGACCTACAGACACTTGGAGTCACCAGCTGTAAAGAGAAGAGTTGAATGTGAGTAGACTATGAGTCAGACGTAGAAGAGGTAGAGAGATACTATACAGACAGACCTACAGACATTTGGAGTCACCAACTTGAAAGAAGGGCTGGTCACAGTGATGAATACAAGCTGGTAATATCTGCAGCAGTGATCCTCAAGGGCTCGGAATCTTGAAAAAGAATAGTGACTAGGCAATCTTTGTTTGTCTGCCCCTGTCTGGTTTCATTTACCATCTACACTGCACTTTTAATGTGTGGTTATTGTAATAAAGTTTCTCTTGTAACTCTAGTTCTGTCTATTTACTGGAGAGAAAAAAAGAATATATTTCTTTTGTAACATACTTAGACTGTACAAATCTGATTCATCATCATAAGGCAAAAGTGGGTGACTGCTGTCAACCCAAGACGAAGAATCACTGAACACATATACAGCACTAGCAAGCTCATTGAATTGTAAATAGACATAGACAAGTTAAAAAAAAAAGAAGAAAAAGAAAGCTTTTTTTGCTTCTTGTTTATGTGTATTTTCTGTTCCTGAACGTCTCTTTTTGTTTTTGTTTTTTTGTTCAATCATTCAATTTATCCATTGGTGTTAGGCAGTCATGCAAACACCTGACGATCTCCAGTAACATATATCAGTTTGTGTTCTAACACACAGAGAGAGAAAGAGAGAGAGAGAGAGAGAGAGAGAGAGAGAGAGAGAGAGAGAGAGAGAAAGAGAGAAGGAGAGAGAGAGATAAGGAGAGAGAGAGAGCAAAATTACATGTAATACCATAGACAGAAGAGCAGCAGCTGAGTAGCAATGGAGCTCACTTGTGAATGCCTCATGGGTCAGCAGTGACATGAAGAACATGAAGAGTGTATAGATAAATTACATGTTTCAGCTTTTTGTCTTTTATCATCCTTACTTAACATGATGTCATTTGCAGAATGTAGCTCCCATCATGGCTCACTGCTAAGACTCTTAGTTCCTTGCCAGTTCCCCTTTCTGATGTTTTTCACATGCTCACAGTGTCTCCAATATCCAGTGTCCATCTTTTAAGCCACTGCAGCCATTTCATGGTGGAAGTGTTTCAGATTTATGAGCCAGTTTTCTTCAGTTTATCTCTTCTTAATTCGTGATAATTTGATGCAATGTTCAAGTTTGCTAAAAAGCAGAAAATGATAGCAGAGAAAAGATGTCATAGGAAAACTGCAGCTGTAACTAGCAGAGAGAAAATTTAAAATTTCAGAATTAGAAGAAGACTGAAATTGACACAGGTCATACAGTTTGTTAAAGGTTAACAGTTGGGATGATTTGGCCATCTGAAAAGAATGCCCTGGTACCAGCTGCCACATCAAAGAAATATGAAAGCAGAGTAAGAGAAGGACTTTACAAAATACAGAACGTTACCATCAAGAATCACCTTAGAGATATGGAGACCAACTTATCCAAGCCACATTAAAAAGAGCACTCAGACAATCTGTACATCCTCCTCCACCACTTTGCTAAGGTAACTGGAGGCTGGGAAGAAGGAGTGTGTATAAGTTCAGAAGCTTATCTTTTCTTCTTTAGTGATTTTGAAGAAATCTATGGCTTTTAATATCAAAAAGCCATTTCAGATAACATTGAGGATACAAAAGCTGTGACGAGCAATGTCTTCTCCAAATTAGGTATTTGTAAAAAAAATAAAAGCGGCGTCCGTGGCTTAAGCATTGCGAGTCCGACTAAAAATTCCAGCCTACCACAATCGAAACCCACCTACTGCTGTCTGCATGGAATTTTATCATGGTTAGGGGCGTAGCAGATCAACTCTGGTCACAGAATGACTACTGTACACCGTCATTAGGGTCTATTCCGTCCCATGATTGTACTCACAGGGTTCTGACACCAGCCTAAAATGGGTTCCAGGATGTATGTCTTGGGAAATTAAAGATGGCTGGCGTAATGCTGACCACATTACCCATCTAGTGCTGATGGTTTGTAAAAATATGGGTGCTCTTCCCATATGCCCGATGCGCCTAAAGGCATGAAAAGGGATCTTTACTTTACAATAGGAAAAATAAAACACACACAGTCCTAGATGGTTGGATCAATAAAAAAATAAAAAAAACCATAGGCCTACCAGTTAATAAAATAAACCTGTCAGTGCTGGGTTTTGAACCCCATGAATTTTAATACCATGCATACTATGTTTTCCAGTTGTAACCCTGTGAGTTGAACAGGATATTTTTCCTGTGAAAACTACTACTATGTTTTACAAAGTCTACCATTCCAATACTTGAAAATATAGCATCATGATGTAGCTATGTTGAGACACTTACACTTTGACATTTTAAACATCTATTTTATAGCTTCAGGTAAGAAATTTCAATGCAACCCCTTTTTATGCCTTAAGAATAAAATTTTATTTCATCTTTTTATTCCAGCATAATTTGAAAACTTTTTATTTGCGACTAACAAATATTCTGAAAAAAAAAAAAAATTCCAGTAAACTTATTTTTCTACCTGGGATATTTCTGTATACAGTTGGGCTGATATTTTCTTTCAGCTAACACCCGTTTTTTTTTAATTTAAGGGCGTTTTTTTTTTTGAAGGGGAGGGGGACTGAAGTTGCCTTTCCTCAATTTAATATTTATCATAACTTTTCTGTAGTGGGTGGTTTTGTTTAGTTACAAAATAGTTCAAAGACTAGCCTATCTAATTGTCCAATATCTGTCTTTATATAAGGAAAATGTTGAACAAAAAATGTGTTGAATTCAAGATTTGTGAAAAAAAAAAAAATCTTTGCAACCACCGTTAAAACTGTTATAAAAAAAAATAAGATGGTACTATACTGAACACATCAGCCACTAAAATGGGAAATAAAGAGACTCAGGAAGCAAGGAAGTCCAGAGACACCAAAAAACGTACATTGATGATAGTTCCGGACTGGATTCCACACATAATATTGAATGGTTTGTACAGAATAGAGGAACAAACTGCACACCCTATGTGTTACATTATAACACAACAAGGCATTGATAAATGAATGAATCAGCTCTTATCAACCTACTGATATCTTTGTTAGCTTCTGTGTATTTTTCTTGTGCTTGGGTTTGAGCAGCTCTAGTTTTGTTTTGACTTTTCTGATTTTTTGTCAAGGGTTTTGGGTATTATGTATGTTTTGTGTTTACCGTTTTATTTGTTAAAGGACTTATAATTGTCACTTGCCTTAAATTAAATTTTTTTTAAAAATCAATTTCTGATTTATCCAACATTGTATTGCTGCAGTGCTTACAAGATGTTGTGTATGTTTTAAAGTTTTAACGGAATTAAATTTTACAACTGATGGGGATGTGAATGTACATCTGTACATCTGTAATGTACCTCTGTCTGTACCCCTGTTATTAGAAGGATTGGGCTCAAGAACTTGGTACCAACTGGCATGATTGATTGAAAGAGAGCAAGAGGAAAGCAAATGGATAAATACCTGGATGGCCTTGCAAGATAGAAGTGTGAGATAGAAACACTGAACTGATCCATAATTCCGGTGATCATTTGAGCTGGCAAAATATGACAGCCTACACTTACTGGCAAGGCACATGAAGATGATGATCACCTCTATAAAGAATTAGTATTATGGTAGAAAAAAAAAGATATAAATTTTTCTATCACTTTTAAACCATACTCTCATTTGTTCTTTCTGTATTGAAGGTTATTTCTACTTAAAGACTGAAATGAAAATTTAAAAAAAACAAAGAAATATGCAGCTTCCATAATACATCTAACCTTGTGACAACCCATAAACGATCTCTTTGGAAATAATGTTGTGTATTCAAAGAGTATTCTACAAAAATATATTAGTTAGTTAGTTGGGTTATCATCATTGCACTCCGGACATGTCCATAGTTGCTCAGATCCTCCCCTCAGTATGAACCCCAACGTCCGATGGCTAATAGTACCAGTTCTATGTTGATTAACAAGTCTTCTGGCATGTCTGGTGTGCGTCTCGTTTTTTGCTGTGCCGATCTTAATTCCCAAGTCTGCCATTCTGGCGAGTGATGTGGATTCACTGCGACCAAAGTCCTCTATCCTTCCCATTTCTCTGAGGGCATTGATAATATCAGCATGATCCATAGGCTGACCTTCGGTAGTGATAGCGGATCCAGCCAACCTGTCAGCTCTTTCATTTCCATCGACGCCTGTGTGTCCCTTAACAAAAATAAAGGTGACTCCACGCACAGTGGACTTCTGTAATGATTCAAGCCATTGTCTTCGCACTGAACCTGCCTGAACCCTCCGGATCATACTTATTGAATCACTGAGTATACATACGCGGGTGTATTTTTGTGTTTCAAGCCAGGCAAACGCTTGCGTCACTGCCATCACCTCCATCGTCATGCTGCTGGTCATCATGGAGAAGGCGCCGTTGGCTTCTTTGACTGTTCTGCCCGCTGAGCGTGCTGTGAATGCCCATGCGCTTCTTCTTTGGCGTATAACGGATCCGTCTGTATAGATTAGTGCATCTGCTTCGTCTGAATTTTCACCGATGAGAGCGTTGACCTCTGCATTAACAGCAACAGGATTCTCTTCTCTACATTGCTTGTTTAGTGTGACAATACAGGAAAATGTACAAATAAACGCCTGAGGCACATTTATCCATTCTGCACCAGGTATTACAAAAATATATGTGCTATATAAATGGTATAATTTTGGAATTTATTTAAGAAAAAAATGTGTTACACGGCAGCCAGCTATGATAACGTCGAATGTTGTAATAAGAATCAACATCACAGCACTTTCCTACATTCCCATAAGTGCTCAGTTCCCATCTTCAGCAACAAGCAAAGAGTTCCACTTCCGATGGTACCAGTAACCATCTGACTGTATATCTGTCTCATCCTTCCCCTGAGTGTTGAGTTCCGGCCGGATCCCCTGCAAACTCCTCGCAGCGTCGTTCTCCTTTGACCCTAATGATCTGTCTGCGCCTCTGCACGATTTACTCGTTTCCAAAAGGCTCTCACAATATCTAACTTATCATACATCAGTTCACCACCAAGTGGTGCAGAGCCAGCCAGTCTATCTGCCTGCTCATTTCCTAACACACCGGCATCACCTAGAGAAAATACCTAAGCGATGCAAACAACACAGGACCTCTCAAGTGATGCTTGCCAAATCCAAACCCTGCATTTTTTAATCCAAGCAGCCAAGTGTCTATTCATGGTTACCACACTTTCCTTTTATGATGATGATCATCATCATCATGTAGCAGGTCCTTTGCAGAACATCGCTCTCATTACGGTCTGCCTGAAAGAAACTTTGTCTCTCGCCACTTCTCCCACCTCATGTACTTTCATATTCAAAGAGTCACTTATATCCTGTGCCCATCTTCATGTCAGTCAGCCCCCGCCCCTCCTTCCTGGTCCCATGCCTTCTGCTATAATTTTTTCCAATCCTTCGGGACACTTGATATGACCAAAATATTTCAGCTTCCCTTTTATGATAGTAATGAAAAAAAAATATTTTATAACTAATACAAGTGTATTAATGGCAGTTATGACAAAGACCTTTAGTTTCAGATGATATCTGTACACATTGTTTTAAAAACATTCTTTGAAGAGATATAAAAGTAAAGGACCCCTTTCCCTGCCTTTAGGCCTATTGGGCATCTAGGGCTAGATCTATATTTTATAGACCATTTAGCACTTAGTCGGTAATGTAGTCAGCATCACCCTGACCGCCTTTACTTCTCAGGACTTTACCTGTCACCCATTTAAGTCTGGGTTGACGTGATCATAAATAATAGGTTATTTCAAAAGTTTCACTCTTTCTCCACAGGGCGGAGTAGGCAGCATCACAATGGGACCTGGTGTCAACTACGCCTTTATCAATATCACAGTCAAGGACAACAGTTTACCAGAAGCAGAAAAGAAATTTCAGGTGGAACTTATAAACCCTTCTGGTGGGGCAGCTTTGGGCCCAGCTTCCAAGGTTAATGTGACAATCCAAGCATCAGATGGAGCATTTGGTGTTTTCCAGTTTGCTGATACCTCTCTGAGTATTCGGGGAACAGAGGATGGTGATGAGGGATATAACATTGTCAGTTTGCAGGTATATAAAACCACCACGTATCCATAGGAATATTCTTCATGTGTTTGGTTTTGGGATCCTATTTTCAGGGAAACAAGAATAGACCCTCTGGCTTCTACTCAGTGTGTCATGAAAGGTGACTAAAATCAGATGCGTTGGGTCAAAATCTACTGATATCAAAGCCTAGCTGTAAACCACAATACAGTATGCCAACTGCTCTTTTAAGGGCAAAAACAGAAAAGAAAAAGAAGAAAAAGAAGAAGATTGGACAGTTTATATCAGTTAAGTGTAAGATATTTATTTATTCATTTTTGCGTGTGTGTAGTTTTTGTTGTTGAGAATGCACACATCTCTTTTCTAATTTCTTTAATTCTATTTCAGAATATAATTTCCTTTCTTCAATAACTATTCTGTTGGATACTAACCTCATAATTGTTAAATGGTTGTCACTTTTTGAGTGATCAGTAGTAATTATCACATTAACCTCCCAGCCTCCCAGCCATTTAGTTCTTTCCGTATGATTTGTCTGTTTAAGAATTACAAGAAATATCTTTTATTTTCACTGCTAGGTTATGAGACTTGCAGGCTCCATCGGTGCAGCAAGTGTTTCCTGGAAAGTTCAGGAGGATCAAGATGACGGGCTAGACATTATCAATCAATCAGGGGTTCTGACGTTTCAGCCTGGAGAAACTAATCGTCCAATTGACCTGCAAGTGAGAGGAGATACGGTTCCAGAGCTGGATGAAACTGTTGTAGTAAAATTGCTAGTAGCAACAGGGGTGAGACGTCTTAATAACTTTTTTTAAAGGTAGTAAGTGATGATATTGCATGATAGTTGTGTATATCACAGTCTGGTGAGAGTGATGCTGTGGGAAGTGATGAGGGGATCTTGCTGATACTCAGCACTCAGAAGAAAGGCAAAATGGATGTATAATTAGATTGCTGCTGGCACCTGTGATATTGGAAACTGCGCTGGCTGCTGAAGATGGGACTGGAGCGCTTTTGGGAATGCCGCATGCTGTGATGTTGATTCCTGAATCAACGCAACTCAGGTTGTGTATATATATTTAAAAAAAAGGCTGATTGGTACATTGTGTTGTGGTTTACAGCTAGACTGCAATGTTTACTCCTTTTGGCCTAACATATCCAGTTTCAGCAAACACCTAATTAGTTCCCCTGTTACAGTATGCTCGTTAGCTATACAAGGGGTCTATTCTTTTCATTTGAGAATAGGTCCTTGGAATCCATGCAGGGATCTTTCAGATGTGAAACCTGATGTCTGTAATTTTCCTGTTGCATTGTAACTTTTATCACACTGACATTGATGCATTTTCAGCACTCCTAAATTAGAACTGCTTATGCCGCAGAATAAGAGTGGATGGCTAAAAACTTACAATACCAGTGTCCCACTCACTGGAGGATGTGATATCTGGTACTGGTAAAGCAAGAGACTTCCATGTGTCGAAGGTGAAATACAAATCCTAGCATGTACACAGCCAGCTGACTGCTTACGCAAGTGGCATTTACAGCCAATTCTGATAGAACTCTCAAAGCAAACACCAGCATTGGTACAATATGTTGTAATGCAATTTTGTATACATTATCACACACATGAGAACATCTACCAATGCAGGTGTTACTCATGAAAAGATCTGAAGTGAAAGTAAAAATTTATTGATGACATTAAAGAGCTTCTATGTCGACATGGAATGACAATAGCCAATTCTGCTCATCAAGTAATGAATCACAAATGTTCCTCCCCACAACTCTTAACGGTAGAAGTGGAAATTGATGATGATGATAGTGATCATATATTTGTTGGGTCAATGATGTAACATGAGTTATTTATCAATGCTTTTTAAATTTTTAGATGTAACAATGTGCTATAATGCCACCACAACTTGTTTCCTGATGTCATCACTTCTGATTCTGTATCTTTCAGTTACCTTTAGGATTTGTTATAGACATTTCATATATGTTGTTCTGGTTTTTCTTTTTCCTTTTGTTGTTAATGTCTGTGTTGGGCACTTGTAGAACAATGTTAGTTAAAAAAATACTCTTATTGTTTTTTCGAGCAAGATACAGAAGTATACTTCTATGAAGAATGATTTGTTTATACCATAATTTGGAAAGACAGAAAAGTGGCAACCACAACATCTTGCTTATTCCCAGTGTTTGCTGACTAATATAGAATAACCGTTTACATAACATCGGTGACTTCAGTAAAGATGTAAAGAATGATGTTGCCCTATGTGGCTGTATGTACTTGTTCATTGTGACTGCTTAGTTCAGCATAATATTTTACATTAGTAGAATGAATGAAAAACACCTCAGAAATCGTGACACTTTATATTCTGATTACTTAGTTCCTTAATTATTGACACTGCACTTACTGTTGAATCTGAATTATTATACTTTTTATTTTTCACTTTTGACCTTTTGAACTGCTTCAGGGACAACTTGGGGATTCCTTGAAGACATCTGCCACAGTTATTATAGCTGCTAATGATGACCCTTATGGAAAATTCATAATAACCTCAGCTTTTAGACCTGCAATTGAAACAGAAGCTAACAAAGGTATATTTTACGCAATACTCCAGTTTACCATTGTTTTTATGAATCAGATGAGTTATTGTGGCTGATAGTTTTAAAAATTCTTTCTTTTCTCTACTCCTGGGATGCCTCGCAGCATCAGGGCAGGAAGAGATCTCTGGAACAGCCCCTTCTTTTTGCTTTATATAAAGTACTTTTCAGTGTCTCTGATATTTCTGCAGTCCATCTTCTGTCTAGTTGACCTCTAGCTCTGTTATCATTGTATCTGTATAACACTGCTGTCTGTAGTGTCCTGTTTGATGCCAATCTTGTTACATGGCCAAACAATTTAATTTGTTGTCTACCTATAAAGTTTGGTATTGGTTCTTACCTCAAAAAGATTTTCAGATAAGCAAATCTCAAATCTTAAAATTTGCTTACTCAAAAAAGTCTAGACCAAAATATCAAACACTAATTAGTTTATATGTTAAATAATAAATAATGGAATCCCCAGAGATATACTGTATGTAAGTGTGGGGTAGATGTTTGAGAACAATGGAAGCGTGATATGAATCAGTGTTGTAAATGAGTTGCTGGATGATGACAATATATTGATCTGAGGAAACTTTTAATGCATGCTTTGAGTGAAATAGATCATTTTAGTTGAATGTGGTTGTATGTATAAATTATTAAAGAAATCAACATGTTTAGTTGTTGTGTGAATTATGAGTGTCTTTGTGGCACTTTTCTGTCTTCTTATTGTTAAATAAATAACAGTTTCAATGTTTAAATGCCCTGTCAAATTTCTTTTTTTTCCCCTCATAGACATTAGTGTCATTGTCCAACGACTTGGAGGTAAATATGGATCTGTTATGGTAGACTTTGCCTCATTAGACCCAGGTGAAGCATACGTGTTCCTGCCTGGGCCTGTGACTAGAGCAGACACCAGTGATTTTCAACCGGCACGAGGCACTCTTAGTTTTGGTCCTAATCAAGAGTTTGCCGACTTTAAAGTCCACATTGTAGATGATCAGCTTCCAGAGCAGGATGAAAGCATTTTTGTTCGACTAAATTCTGTAAGACTGGTTCAAGCTGCACAGCTAGCTCCTGGTAAGTTTGAGATTTTAAAGGTTTGGTAACGCATAAGTGCTCCATTCTACTTCTGACTCAAGCCTGAGTTCCAAGAATCTCAGTGGCAGTGCACAAACTCCATAGCACTGGCGAGGATCCTGAAAATACTTTGGGTAGATTTTAAACTCCAGATTTGCCTGCGCAGTGTCGTTAGGCTACTCTTTTTAATAGCCAACTGCCATGGGATATTTTTTTACGTGCGCAACAATACACACATGCGTCCGATCTTACCACCCAGAGACCAGGGGAAATTACTAGAAATCCATCTGAAAAAATCCCAGCCTTCTGGGGCCTGAACCTGGGATCTCCGGCACTCGAGGCGGACACCATGCCTCAAAGATTTTAAAGAGATTTCATATTTGTCCATAAGGGAAGTAAAGAAAAGTAATATTGGATGAATTTTACAATAACCTTAACAATTATACTGATAACTTTTTATTTGGGTTCGAGGTCCCCATTTTAAGGGGAAAAATAAAAATAGACTCACTGCCCCCTGACAAGCATGTCCTAAAAGCTAACTGTTTAGCAGCTTGCTACAATCATATGTCTTGGGCCAAAAAGCACAGATATCAGCATAGCTGTCAACCACAACACAATGTGCTGAGATTCTTGTAGGAAGAAGAAGAAGAAAATACTGATGGTCACAAATACTCCTTGGTATGTCTAAGTATCATCGTCAATAAACACATTATATAAAAAGATTTTTGGATTTGTCTTACCTGGACAAAAAAAGAGAAGCAAAGAATTGTAATACTGTACTAACTATGCGTGTCATAAGATGTAACTAAGGATGGTTAGCATGAAACTGGCTGTCTTATTACACAGAATATTTTAGCTGCAGCTGCAACTGAAATATGTTGGCCATATGAAACGCAGCATTTGTTAGGATAAAAGAATAATGATCCTTGAAAAAGAGGCAGGGGTCTACCAGCAACTTAGGTGGTAATGTTTCATTATACTTGTGCATGGCAGAAGAAAGTCGGGGGGGGGGGGATCTCTCAAGTGTCATTATGACGTTACTGCGGTTGTCTTTACTGTGATGGCATGTGCTTAACACTCTTGACATTCTTAACAATAATATTGCTAGGTTACAAGACAGCGGCGTGGTTACTGTAATTTCTAACATAATTTTAAGGTTTTTTATTTGAAGCTCTCTCGTTGATACCTTGGGAATCGAGTACACAAGGAGGGGAATTGGAAAGTGACAGAATCTCTCTAGTGGGCTTTGATGGCTGCGAGGGAAGCTGACTAAAGAGTTAATAATGCAGGGTTCTTATATGGGGGACCGGGGTTTGAATCTTCAGTGATTCAGGACAACAAATACAATCTTAGCCTGCACAGTCCATGACGAAAGCACAAGCCATGCTGCCCTACAAAGAACACCCTACCTACACCACAAACAAGTCATTAACACAGGCAGTTTTTTTTTTTTTAATGGTAGTGGCAGTTGTTGATGGTTGCAGCTTTCTACCAAGCATGTCTGTCTGTCTGTCTGTCTGTCTGTCTGTCTGTCTGTCTGTCTGTCTGTCTGTCTGTCTGTCTGTCTGTCTGTCTGTCTGTCTGTCTGTCTGTCTGTCTGTCTGTCTGTCTGTCTGTCTGTCTGTCTGTCTGTCTGTCTGTCTGTCTGTCTGTCTGTCTGTCTGTCTGTCTGTCTGTCTGTCTGTCTGTCTGTCTGTCTGTCTGTCTGTCTGTCTGTCTGTCTGTCTGTCTGTCTGTCTGTCTGTCTGTCTGTCTGTCTGTCTGTCTGTCTGTCTGTCTGTCTGTCTGTCTGTCTGTCTGTCTGTCTGTCTGTCTGTCTGTCTGTCTGTCTATAATGATGTTGTACTTGAATTACACCTACATTTCAAACCACAGGAAGCGATTGTAATTATAATAAATCAACTGGAAATATATGCGATTTCTAAAAAAACTTGTATCTTTCAAGGGAGCATGAAATCTAGGCTCAGATAATATTCAATCAGGTTCCGATTCTTTGTATATGGGATAGTGTTATTTTTTATTTGTTTTTGTGGAAGATGGTTCCACAGTTGAGTGCGGAGTACACTAAACTTGATTGTGTAAGTCTTTCTTAGCTTTAGAAATGTGTAATATGTTTAGGCATTTGCTATGTATGAATGACAGCAAGCAAGGCATATTGTCAGTTTAAAATAATGATGCCAAAGGCCAAAGGTTAAAGTCTACACCACTTACACTCCACATCCCAACAGCCATGGTATAACCTGTGCATTTGTGAATTAAATATTTATTATTTCAGTACCAGGTAGTAGGTGATGGAACTGGCACACTGAGTGGACAGTGCGGAGACATAAATAGATCATCACAGTCTGAGGAGAAGAATGCTGCTAGGAGTGACCAGAGCATCTGGCCGATGCCCACCACTCAAAGGAAAGACAAGCCAGATAAACAGTCAGACTGTTACTGATGCGATCATGAGAGCTGTGATGTCAATTTTTAATTCAACATTCGACATTCAGCTGAAGCATAGTTACCTGAAACCAATACATGCAGAGTCAAAAGTGGTGTTGATACAAATTTATTGAGCATAAGGATTTAAAGTAGCACTTGGAATAAACTATGTCAATATAACAGGTGGATAAGACACAACAGGTTAATACAAGTTTATCATATATAAGGTCATCGGCGACCGGGTCGCCCATTGGCTGGTGGTAGATGGCCTCGTCATCGGTTGGGACAGTATTTGGGTGTGTCTCCTTTGATCGCATCAACACTGCAAGTATCCGTTTCAGGGCTACTTGGTGGCAAGTAGTGTTAAGCCATTCTGTATGGTGCAAATAACCTAGTCACAATTATTACCACAAGCTCCACCTTTGGGGATGCTGGTTGAATGTGACGATTTCATTTGTTGTTGCTAAAAATCGGATCGGATCATGTATGAGGTCACCCATTAGTGTGTGGTGCATTGTTCGTCTGTTACATATAATTTACAGGGCTTTGCAAACTAACCCCAGCATGCATTGGCTGTTGTGTTGTCTTTTTTTAGGCATTATTACATTCAGTAGTTGCCATTGCTTTCTCAGCAATTTGATGCTCATACCATTGTCAAAATCAACACATTTGACTGTAGTTGATTTCAAGCCATTATATGTCAACATTGCGCTCACAACCTCTAAGCCACAGTTGTCAAATGGTTAGTTGTATGTAAATTTAAGAACTTTAAAATGCTTTCAGTTGGCTATGAGATGTAAGTTATAAACCAACATCATAGAACTCAGGACATTCTCATAAGTGTGCTTTCTTCATCTTCAACAGTAAGCACAGAGTTCCAGTTGTGATTTTACAGTAACAGTCCCCCAGTGTTGAGCATCAGTCCCATCCCCTGTTCACTCCTCAGTGCATAGTTCTGTTCAGATCATGATGATCTGTGTGCCTGCGCACTGTTTTCTTTAGCTAGTTTCAGTTTGAATATATTGATATTAATGACTCTTTGCAGTTCAGTCATCACCTCGTTTAGGACTGGATTCAGAAACCTATGGACAGATCATCATTTTAAGTAATGATGATGCTAGTGGCCGTCTTCTGTTGTTGCCTTCACTCATATCAGTTGAGGAAACAAATCTTACACCTGCAGTCAATGTTGTTAGAACAGGAGGATCTCTTGGTGAGGTTAGTTTGGTATTTTATTATTTTTAATTTAAAATCTCTGAAGTTTTGTATGATTTTTTTTTCAGGAAGAGTAACATGCAAGCAAGTATACAGTATTTCTTCTTCTCCTTTTTAGCCTAGGGTTTTGAATTTGAAGAGGCCTTGGTATGTGCTATGTAGAGGATAGTATTCACAGCCTCTCATATTCCATCCATCTATCTTAAAATATTAAACGTTTACTAAAGATGTTGAGAAGTATTAAGGTAATGATATTAAGAATCTCAGTTGAAAATTACATTAGCTTTATAATAACTGAAAGACGTTCCTTCAGTAAATATTTTTCTAGACATTCTAGTTATATATATATATAAATAACCAAACTCTTGAAAATGTAGAACATTTCACATATCTTGGCAGTGTGGTGTCCCTGCCGAGAGGGACCAAAGAGGACATACAGTCACGTCTGAACAAAGCTAAAGCTGCTTTTGGAAGGATGAGGCAAATCTGGAAATCCAACAATTACTACAGAGGAACGAAACTCTGACTCTACAAGAGCATCATTTTGTTCTTCTTTATGGAGCGGAATGCAGGAGAATGACCAAAAAGGATGCACACAAGCTGTCCACCTTCCACCACACATGTCTACGTAGAATTATCAAAATTTTCTGGCCAGATACAATCTTAAACACTAAAACACTAAACTACTTCAAGTCACAAACCAAGAAACTTTAGTATGATAACCAAGAGAAGATGGAAATGGCTTGGCCACGTTATGAGAATGATCCTGATATACCTGCCAAAACAGCTCTAAACAGGGGTGCCTAAAAACAACATGGAGACGAACAATGGAAAGTGACCTGAGTGCGGCATTTTTGACATGGAAAACTGCACTGAAGATTGCGCAGGACAGGAAAGCATGGAAAGTCCTCTCTGAAGCCTCATGTGCCACTAGTCATAACGAGAACTGAACTGAACTAGTTGGGAAGATCTATATCTGCAATGTTTCCTTAATGCCATCATGTTATACAAATAGTGTTTAATCTCTTTAACCGCTCAGTCTATGACTTCTTCTTCTTAAAGTTTATACCGTGTGGCCTTGTTAGTCATGTCTGTCCACAGTCTTCTGCTTCTGTGTCCTTTCAGTCGACTCTGACACAAATGATCCTCCATGCCATGATGTCAGACTGCCCAACATCTTTACTCTTGGTCTCCCTCTGCCTCTCCTCCCCTTCAACTTTCCTACTGACACAATGTACACCAGTTTTCTCCTTCTAATGACATTACTGGAGAATGTAGATTGTCTCTTTCTGATGTGGGCAATCAGTTCTCTTCATGAGTCCGTTTTTTTAAAAAGATATCTTAATTACTCTTTTTATCTGTTTAAGGTATTCTCATCATTTGTCTATAAAACCACATCTCCGCAGCTTCCAAATAAGTTGTCTCTAATTTACCAATTGTCTATAATATCTAGCATTTAAAAAAAAGGAATTTTGGAGACTGTAAGAACAGCTTTTCGAGAGCTGGAGAATAGTACAGCCTGACATATTGTAATTGCAATGAACTCACAGAGCATGCTTTTGAAAATAGAAGCTATTGTCTTACCAGCAGAGTGACTTACATTGATTGATAAGACTCAGATCAGGAACTTAACACTGCTCAGTATATTCTAAGGTACAGGGTAATGAACAGGCTGATAGATTGGCTGCTGATGAACCTCTGTGCGGTCAGCTACTTTATGATAAAGCAGACACCATGATGGCTGTCTTGGATCAAGTGGACAGTATAAACAGAACATCTATACCTTGAGAGACTGGACTGATTCAGCAGAGTAGTGAGCATAAGATATGGACAGGTTTCAACTGGAAAAATACCAGCAGAGTTTTAATCAGCAAACTCTTTGTTGAGAAAGGCAACAAAGCAAGTGAGGAAATGCTCTAAGTGCACTGATGTCAGTTCTTGATTCATTTGTTCATTCACCTTTTAATCTGTCTGTAGGTGTCTGTATCATTCCAAGTTATTGATGGCACAGCCATGCAAAATGTGGACTATATCATTCTGAGTACGGTTGTCAGTCTGTCACCTGGAGAGACAAGCAAACGAGTGCCTTTTGAGATTGTTGATGATCGTGTGCCAGAAATGTCTGAAACATTCACCATTCAGCTCTTGAATAAGATCTCAGGAGGTGCAGTCCTTGGTGATCAGATATCTACAATTGTTACAATTCTACCTTCTGATGATCCTAATGGAGTTTTTGGTAGGTAGCTGAAGATATTGTTCAAGCGTTTGTGTGAAATTTTTGTTGTTGCTAGCCATATTATAAATATTGCTTTTTTAATGAAATATGTTTAATAGATAAAAAATAATTCCTGTGTAAAAGACAAGTGCTTCAAAGGGAATATATATGATGGGCCTTCATGCCCAGTTTGTGAGTCTTTAAAGATAAAGCTCGTTTGTTCATTCCATATTATTTAAAACAATCATAATCTACAGTTTTGACATTTATTTAAACAAAAATTACTGTATAAAATTGAACGCTTTGCTTACCTGTGGCAGCAAGATATACCACAGTAGCATGTGGTGAGTGTACTGGTACCGGTGCCCTAATTACGTGATAATATAAATATAAAATAATAAATAGAAACTCCATCTTGATTAACACTATAGATCCCAATTATAACACTGAGGAATGAGCAGGATATTTGTTGAAAAAAAAAACCATTACGACTACAACAAACTTCTATCCTGTGCAGTCCAGTTCAGCACCTTTGGTCTCTCTCATCAACGTTCGTTTTAGGGTTTCTTTTCTACGTCCTTGCTTCAGGTTCCTTTATATCCCATTGTAGTGCCTGTTTGTTGATTCTCTGCTCAGATGATACCGGTACCACTGTCAAAACCAACGCAAAACAAACCGCCTGCAGCTAGGATTGAACTCAGCACCCTGGAATTATGAAGCTTGTTCGTAGTGCCTAAGCCACAGATGCCGACACCTCCCAGGTAAACCCTGCCTTGAATCGATACCAGAAAATATCTTGGAAAAAAAAAGGTGACCACATCGCCCTCCGAATGCTGGTTAGTTTATATAAAAATGAGTCAAGCATCGCACGCCTAATGTGCCACTGATATAAAAAGTTAACTTTACTTTACTTTTTAATTATTTCCTAAATGCTGATTTGTTTCTTTCAAACCCAATCAGAGTTTGTCTCAAAAGGCCAGACTGTTGAAGAGGGCACACAGCCATACACAGTAGATGTGACAGTCTCTAGAACAGGAGGACTCATGGATGTAGTAACTGTTGCTTGGACTGCTAATTCCAATGGTGATATAATCATTTATACATTTACTCTTAACTTGTTTTCTAGATTGTTGCCAAGGTTTAGCAGCTAGATGCTCACCTGTGGGTCTAAACTTTGTGGGCTCACATTCGTATCTGGCCAGATTTTTGTTTACAAAAAAATGACCTTCACTCCCAGGTTGACCCAGCCTTAAATGGGTACCGGGCAAAGGTTGTTGGTGTGGTGATGACCATATCACCCATTAAGTGCCAATTGATTTAAAACATATAGGTCTAGCAATAAATACCTAATACTTAACTTACTTTTTTCCAGTAGGTACAATTTATTGGAGTCAATCATGTTTCATTTTTGACCAGTTTAATCTTTCAGTACCATAAATCCAATGACAAAATGAGACTGGTGCAAGTAATTTGTTCTTTTTCTTATGATTGTTATGATTGTTTGTCCACTTCTGGCCTCTAGCCCTGTTCCAGAACCTGAATGTTGTGTGCAGATCCTTTTTCCAAATCTGGCCAATTTGTATGCACACTGTTGGTTTCTTGCCTCTCAGGCAGATGCATTCTGACCTTGAAGGAAGCTCTCAATCAGTTGACTCTTATGATTAGCTTTTAGGAAGGCAGTGGGTCTATTCTTGTTTTCGTCACAATGGGAACTCATATGATTACGTTTGTGGAATTATATTACTAGAATAAGAAAAGAAGTTACTTGACATTAGGCTAAATCATGAAAAGGTTGAGAGCAGAGAAAAGGAGAGTGTAAGGCGAAGGGAGGATAGAGGTAGATGGGGAGGGAGGAAGAGGCAGTATGGCTAGTATAACTCTTTCAGTCACAAGTGGTTCTTAACTCTTTGAATCCCAGGGGGTTTAGCATCACAGGCCCAGGGGGTAGTAAAGAAAGTAATAAAATTGGCGCATCATGCGTTCATTGGGCTTCTAGGTAGAAACCTATGAACGTATGATGTGTTCCTTGGGACTCGAAGAGTTAATTCAACACTGTCTATCCTAAAATTTGTGTGCCTTAGAGCAACAATTTGTTTAGTCTTGTCTTACTGAAAAATACGGTTCTGGGACAGAAGTTGTAGTAATAATTGACCTAAATGGTTTAACATAACACATGAATGAGACATACAAAGTAAAGAATATTAACATAAACCAATGTACGCACTATGATCTTTTTGATACAGAAAGTATCAATACTGTATATATAGATATCACTGAGATTTTTTAATGATTATATATAGCTTACTTCTTAGCTGCAGATGTATTAGTCATGTGATAATTTGAAAGAAAAAAACAAAACAACTATTTCAGTCAATATGAATATTTAATATTCTGCCATTTTAAGGTGGACCAGTGTTAGATGACATCTCTCCAGGATCAGGTTCTTTATACTTTGTTAGCAATGAAGCCAGCTTGAAAATCACACTCACCATACTCCCAGACAACATTCCAGAGGGCTCTGAGGTACGTAATATATTCAGTTATAAGTCAATTAACAACAGCATCAAGGACAGCTTTAAAGAAATGAAGATCAACTTATGTGACTCATGAGAAAGAACACATAAAAGATCCTTACATCTTTCCCCAACACTTTGAGGTGGTGATTGGAAGAAGAGAAAAAGAAGAAGGAATAGAAGAAGGAGGAGGGGGAGGAGGAGGGGAGGTTGATTGTAAATCATCATCGTCAATTCTCTTTATGCCTAGTGGCACATGAGGCTTCAGAGGACTTTCCATGCTTTTCTGTCCTGTGCAATCTTCAGTGCAGTTTTCCATGTTAGGGATGCAGCACTCAGTTCACTTTCTATTGTTCGTCTCCATGTTGTTTTTGGGTGCCCCTTCTTTCTCTTTCTCTCTAGTGTCCAAGTGAGAGCACTTTCGGCATGTATATCAGTGTTCATTCTCATAACCTAGCCAAGCCATTTCCATCTTCTCTTTGTTATCATACTGACTAGAGTTTCTTGGTTTGAGACTTAAAGTAGTTTAGTGTTTGAGATTGCATCTGGCCAGAAAATTTTGATAATTCTACGCCCTGGTACATGCAGCCAAGATAGTTTCTTGAGGCGGCACTTCTAGATGCTGTCAAATAATTCTAGTCATAGTTGCCAGTCCGGAACTTTTTAAGCATGCTCATTTAGTCTGTCACTATCAATGGTTGAGTTGCTTTCTGTTCCACCAGCCATGCAAGTGCCACCGCTATCTTCATCATCATACCATAAGTGGTTGAACTGAATGCCTGGCTTTCTTCCTTTCCTATCCTTCTATTCACTTGCATTGTGTGTGTCCACCCAGGCAGTACACCATATATCACTGAGCCATCTATGATTGTAAAAGTGTTTATTAACCTATTTTACATATTTGTCAGATTATTATAATTAATATGTTACTTTATATTTAGCAGCCGGCCGAACGGTTAGAATGCTGGGGTCTCAAGCAGGAGATTAGGGTTTCAATCCTTGGTAAAGCTGTGGATTTTTTCTGTCATGGCGACAGCATTAGACATGTGGCCATCATATCCTCAGGCTCAAAGACTCCCCCTGTCTACACCTCAAAAGTGGTATAATAAAGTCAGTAATTGGCAGTTGTTAATTTTTTAACTTAAATTTAACAAGCACAAGTGTAATTGTTAATTTGTTGATCTATTTACTCATTTAGAAAGTAGTAGTTAACAATTTTTGGAAATTATTTGTTCAGAAGAACTATTGTTACCTTATTAATTCTAAATAACTTATTTTGCAGGATTTTGTTATAACTCTACTGAGTGCCACAAATGGTGGACGAATAGGAGAGAAGAATACTTATATTCTCACTATAGTACCTAATGACAGTCCGCATGGGACAGTGGAGCTTTCATCACATTCTTATTTTATTCCTGAAGATCCTGGTGAAGGGCCACAGGTAGTTCAGATTATCAGGAGGTAAATATTCTTTCATATATATATTATAAGTAAACATTCTTTGCTGCAATATTATAGGTACACTTTCTTTTATATAGTATTATAGGTAATCATTCTTTTACCTAGTATTATAGGTACACATTCTTTTGCATAGTATTACAGGTAAACATTCTTTTAATACAGTATTATAGGTAAACATGCTTTAATGCAATATTATAGGTAAACATTTTTTCATGTAATATAGGTGAACATTCTTGAATGCACTATTAGGGTAAACATTCTTTCATGCAATATTATAGGTAAACAGTTGTTATGTCATATTACAAGTAAACAATCTCTTATGCAATAGTATAGGTAAACACTCTTTCGCACAGTGCTATAAGTACACATTCTTTCATGTAATGTTATAGGTACACATTCTTTTTAGCAATATTATAGGTTAGCATTCCTTAATGCAGTAATGCAGGTAAGAATTCTTTAATGTAATATTATAGGTAAACATTCTTTATGTAACTTTATAAGTAATCATTATGTCATGCAGTAAAGTAGGTAAGTATTATTTCATGCAATTGTATAGGTCAACATTCATACATGTATTATAGGTAAACATTCTTTCATATAATAATATTCCTGTAAATGGGGTCTTTTTATTTGTGTTTTGCAATTTGGTTAACGATCAGTATTTGTGTTTTGCAGTTTGGTTAACGATCACTTCCAGAGCACACAGATATATATTTAAGTGCTACAGTTCTTTTTCTATCATTTAAGTCGTCCACACCACCCTGGCTTTTGCCGGGGGCCCTGAATATAGCCGGGCCATTAATGTGGCCATAACGGCTGAAAGGGGTTTCTGGGACCTCTCCACAGGTGATCCTCATCTGCATTGTGGCACTTTGTGTCACCAGGTTTTTATCGCTTGTGTGAAGTCCTGGTTGGGTGCAACAAGCAAGCAAGTGCTACAGTTCTCCCCCTCCCCCTTTCCCACTCACCCATAAATCACACATGGTGGATCTCAACAGTCCATGAACACCATAGGACTGACAAGGATTCACATGTGTGTATACAAGTCAGAAATACTATCATTATTTATTTATGGGTAAATTTTCTTCATTTCTTTTTTTTTTTTAAACTGAGCTTGAGCTTTGGTTGGCTCTTTTCAATATTTTCAACTGTTAGGTTTTTAACATGCAGCATGCACACAGTTCTTGTAAAGTTTAAAAAAAAAAAAAATCCTTTTCCAAGATTACTAGATATATGAGGGGAGGAATCCAACATGTTTACAAAACTTTGGGTTCTTTTCTGCTTTTTCACATTATCTCACAAGCTCTGAGCATTTCATAGGCCATTCCTAGGGAATTCCTCGTAATGTGCTATAGTATAGAAGGGTTAGGATTAGGATTAGGATTAATGTTAGTTAGTGTTCTTTTAACACTAACCCTAAAGATTCTGAAGCTCTTATATTTTAGGGTTGTCATAAATTAGTTGTTTTCAGCATTTTCATAGTTTATGCATCATCATATCCAGTGTGTGCTACTTTCGTTCATTCGTTGCTATTGCTGTCGCCTTGTTTAGAAGTGATGTTCTTACTTCGTGACTTCACCTTCTCCATAAATTTCCTTAACCTATTAGCATTGCTGCATCTGACGCTAACCCTATTCCTAACCAACTAGTATACTTACGTGGAGACTGTCAATCCTTTTCAGGGTCCTCCCATGCCACCACTCCCAAGATGGCCTTTTTCAGGTTACTGGCTCAAACGGAACCTTGCAAGTCATTGAGTGAAATACACAAGACAGTGAACTTCATGTGAACAACATAGCAGATGCAGATAATCTATTTTAGGCAAATGAAAGATAAAGAGGAAGAAGAAGAAACTAACCCTAATGCCCCCCTCCCCCCTTCCACGCATAATATTGCACATTCTAAGGAACTCCTTAGGAATTCCCTCCCAGATCTCTCAGCGCCCAAGATGGGGGTGCAAAAGCTGAAAAGAACCAAAGTTATTTTTTTTCTGAAACGACATTTACTGAGGGAGATAAGCATCTTTTGGTTGACCTGAAGTGCTGGATATTAATTCTGAAAACTAGTAACACTTTTGTATGTTTTGAAGGAGACTGAGAACTAGAGGACAGTTTATCTCATTTATTTTATGTTGAAAATTTTACTCTTGCATTAGCAGATGCTAATGTAATGGCACTTCTCCAACTTTGTAGAAGATAGTGCATATTGTAGTATAGGAAGCTTAGAATCACAGCCCATGGTGATGGCGAGTGTGACTAGCAAGACGTGCTCATGTTAAAAACAGTTTTCCGCAATGAGATCATGGGATTTCAGGACCAGTATTGACATCACATGTATATAATGTGCTTGTTCTCAAACTTTCAGTTCTTTGCCTATCTGGGATCATTTTCTCCTTTATCCCTATTCCCTTCCTGAATTTTCTCTCTCCATGCTAAAACTGTCCTTGGCATCCTATCCCCACGAATCCACCTCTTTACCAGTATTCATGTTCCACTTGCATACATCTTTTGTATCATAGTACAGTCCAATATTGACTTGTTCTACCCGTCTATATATATTAACTGTCTGTTGGCATCTATGAGAACTTGTCTTTTCAGAATTTTCTCACCATATTCAATCTGTCATCTTTATGTACTATGGCAGTGAAAAATCTGTTCGTAAAGAAGCTGGCATAATACTGATAAAATAACATTTCCTTCACTATGAAAATATGGATTCCCATCACGATGCTTTAATAGGATGTAAAATGACTTTAAATTACATCTTTGACTAATACAATAAATACAATAACCCCTGGCTTCAACCACCTGTCGAGCACGGACCAAAATGGTCCTCCTCACAACACTTAACAGCAAAAGTGCAAGTTTATGATGATGTTCCCGATGATGATGTTGACTGAATAAAATAGCACGGCTGCTAGGATGGTTGGAAAGAAATGTATCAAATATTTTATACTGTGTTGCTTTTTTTAGTTGATTGATTTGTCTTGTTTCATTTTCATCTCAACACAGAGGTGGTACTTATGGAATTCTTCGTGTCTACTATTCCACACTACAAATGTCAGTGTTGGAGTTGATCAGCACAGGTGGCCTGAAACCACTGGACATCTATGCAACACCATTAGCTGGTGCACCTACTGAATCTGGATCGCAAGTGGATGTTTCCCAGTCTGTTAATACACTAGAAAGTTGTGCCTCAGCATGCCTGATCGAGTCTATGTGCTATAGCTTCTCTCTTCAGCAGATTGATGTATATACCGTGTGTACTTGGTATACTAAGACATTTAGTCCTGCCACTCTACGAACAGCTGCTAAAGGAAACTATTATGAAATAGATCAAACAAAGGTGAGTGAAATTGGCCTTTTACAAAATATAAAAAAAAAAAAATCAAATGACTCTTTCCTCTTTGTGGCTGACCTACATGCAATTTGCTGCTACATACATAATTAGTTCCATTTACACCTTCTCCTGGACTTATGACCTATAGACTTATGACCATCAACACTTATTTAAAAAAAAAAAAAATAAATAAAAATTACAATTTAAGGCTATATTTTTTAACAGTACATACTGTACAGTACATTTTATGTATTTTTCAAATTATGTGCAAAAATTATACATATATAGATTGAATTTGTGTGTTTTATGTAAGCTAGATTTAAATTTCCCGCATCGCCTGGGATAAAGCAATCTACATTAATTCTTATTACTTGTATTCACCAAATGTATCTTAGTCCTTGGCTGTGGAATATCATCCCATACATAAAATGTTTAATATGCTGCAAGTTAAAAAAAATTTGGTTTCAAAATCTGACATAGGCCAACTTAATACCATAATGTGTCAAGCCTGTGACTCAGAGTGAATGCCCCTGTGGGTTATCAAATAAATGGCTAAGGGATGTAATGACATTTGTAGTTTGCAAGCAATATAACTACAGCCGAATGCGACTTTAAGTGATTGTCTGTTAATATGCCAAAATATGCAGAAACCATGGTTGCAAATATGACTGTTTTTGTGAAGACTGTAGCCAGTACGATACCTGTAAGTTGAACCCGTCTACATGTCATCGTTTAAGAGGAGTCAGCGTGCCTGCAAGTTTTCTGACAAACACATAGTTTAGTTTATGTATTTTATATTATAGATTTTTATAACCCGTTTGAATGAAAAAAGCATAAAAAAATATAAATTTGATCTATGACCAGTCTGAATTATGACCTGTTAAAATGAAACTCTGTCACAAGTCAGAGATACAATGATACCTCAACTAACAAGTGATCTAACAAATGTTTTGCCTAACAAAAATGTTTTTGCTGTTTTTAGGGTCGCTATATTTAGATTCAGCTAAAGAATGTTTGAGTAGGTGTGCATGCGAACATAATGTGGCTGCATGGTCAGCTGAATTTTTGCTGGAAATCACATTTCAGCTAATACAGATTTCTTTTAATGAATGTGATTCTGGAACAAAACGTCTTCATTAGCAAATAAATCACTGTGATTTTGTGAAAACTTCACCCATTTCTTTATAAGTTTTTATGCCTAAATTTTAAAAAAAATCTTTTTTTTTTCAGTTATCAAACCTGATGACTACCCAAGCCAGAGGTGGAGAAGACTTTGCTGTAGTCTCAGGACAGTTCATTTTGTTTGGTGATGGCCAAACAACCACAGTGATTCCTATTCCTGTGATCGATGACAATATACCTGAACTGGATGAGAAGTTCTACATCAGACTGACAGCTATTGCAGTAGATGATGGTAACCGTAGTACCTCGGATACTCCTATGTTAGGACAACTGCGGCAAAGCATAATCACTATCAGAAGCAGTGACAGTGCCTTTGGAATGTTCCGTCTGTACAGTGCATCAGCCGGTCCTAACGCTCGAGTGTTTGAAGTTAATGAGATCAACAGGCTTTCCGTGGACTTGGTTGTGGAGAGATCTGGTAAGTTGGAATTACAGTTTTTCTTCTATTAACCCTTTAAGTACCAGACAGGTATAATTTAAACTTATTGATTTTTAAGTATTTGTTACCTAAGGTAATTATTGTTTGCATCCATAAGGGTGAAATTAAAAACACTAATAGGGAAATAAAGAGCTTAAACAATTTGGAATGGCAGGAGTGATTGTAACGGCTACACGAGGAAAAAGTGCTTAGAAAGCATATGATGTAAGTAGTAAGCAGTCAATTTATGGTGAGTTGGTTGGTTCCAAATGAGTTAATCAACCCTCCCAATACCAGACATATCTCACAATAAAAAAAAAACAAGCAATAAAATATAATCACTTCAGTGTATGTGACCATTCCCTGCCTGATCCAGACTTCAGGTTACTGTGTAACTGTTTGTGGTTCCAGTATTACTGTCATAGTTAAATGAGGCTTCCAAGATTTATACCTGCTTGATTCTAGTCTTTGAGGTATTTATCCTGTACACGCCCTGGAGAGAACAAACTACATACAGACCTTCATCTAAAAAATAGCAGGTACCTCAAGCTGTGGTGGCATAGTGGCTAGATGTTTGCCTGCCAGCCCAAAGGTCTTGGGTTCAGATCCACCTAGAGTCTAAATTTTGTTTTCAGACTACTCTTTGGCTCCCAGGTCAATTCAGCCTTTGACTTCATCATCTGCTAAGTGCCGAGTAATTTATAAAAATATGATTATAACATCATGTGCCCGATGATCCACTGGGGGCCCTTTTTTTTTTCCTTTTTCTCTTTCAACATTTTGTCTCAGACTATAGCAATAGATTGGCAGTGGTTGGAGGGTCCTGATCTGCACATCAGAGCAATGTTGCCTAAATCTGCCATGTTTTACTGATGTATTTCATACCAATTGCTTTGCTGATGATGGCATAATTTAAATCAAGCGATTTACCGTACAATAAACAAGGGACCATGATCAGTTTAATTGTCTTGAGTCTGTCTTAATTCTAAACAACTCATAATTTTGTTTTCTGCATTCTTCAGAGAATGTCATTGTTTTGGGCCCATTTACAGCATAGCTGTGATATTCACACCTTTTTTCCCGACACATGTAACTTTTTCAGGAATTTGTTACCTGGATTAGCATTCCTAAAAGCAGTCATGTATATAGTGATCTCCTTCATGAAAAAATTCAGGTTTGTGATTGTGCAGGTGTAAATAATGGAGGGAAAAAAATATGGGGTGGGAGGGGGGTGATTTGCTAGATGTTGAATGTACAAGTAACCTGAAAGTACCTTTTTCCATGTCTTGATGCATATGGCAATATGGTGCAGTTCCTATACAGACAAACAAGTATCCATTGGTTCTAACAGCTACCTTTACTTCCCAGACTAAAATCTGTTTTAGGTTAGGTCAGATCATTTTTAAAAAAAGAAATGATTGCTTCTGTCAAAATTTTGATGGGGATTGGTATGTTGAATTTAGAATTGACATCATAGCCCTTGGGACATTCCCATATGTGCGCAGTCCCCATCTTCAGCGGCAATCATAGGTTCTATTTCTGATGGCACCATTAAGTCGGTATATTCGTCTCACCCTTTCTCTTGAGTATTGAGCTTTGGCTAGATCCGCTGGTGACTCCTCGTAGCATCATTCTCATCAGACTGTGATGATCTGTTTGTGCCTCCACACTCTTCAATCGCTTCCAAAGAACCCTTACAGCATCTAGCTTGCCGTGCATCAGTTAACTACCAAGTGGTGCAGAACTAACCATTCAGGATTTGAAAACATGACTGGCAAACACGTGTGCCTGCTACAATGCTACCATAGCTGCCAGTGTTGAATAAATTACTCCCCGTGTGGGTTCTGGGACCCCATTTGGGGGTGGGGGGGGGGTGCGGAGAAAAGATCCACTGCCCCTAACAAGCATTTTGTAAATTAGAGATGTTTTCTTTGAAGTTGGAATGCAACTGCCTCAGAGGCAAGGAACAGACCATCTGTAAAAAATTGGTCAGATTTCTATGACAGATACGCTTGCAAAGCTGAAGTTCCGGAACAAGACCAAAGTCTGGAAGTGGATGAACAATCTGGATTTTCCACCGGAAAATTATAGTCAATGAGCACTAAGAAGAAGAAAAAGAATGAATTACAACTCACTGTCTGTTGTAATTATTTCTATAGGTGGGAGCATGGGTGCTGTGTCAGTAGAGTGGATTGTGAGTTTTGTAAACAGGACAGCCACGTACAATCAAGACTATATAGCAGATGGAGCCACATTGCAGTTTAACCCAGGTCAAATCACACGTGGTAAGTCCTGGTAGTAAAGCTGCCATCTCAGAGACAATCACTGGTTGCTGTTCTTAAGAAATAAAATTCTGTCTCTGTAAACATTTACTGTCACAGTATCATTGTCAATCATCTAATTTTGCTTTTGTCTCTTACAGACTATGTAATTGTATTTTTTTATTTCACTTTTTTTATGGTTCAAGTTAGTTGTGTATCTTTTACAGGACATTGCAGAACCAACCCCACCATTTGTTGGCTGTTGTGGTTTTTCTAGGTAAATTTATGTCCAGCAGTTTGCCATTACTTTCTGGACGGTCAGTTTCTTTGATACCACTGTCAAAACCAACATAAGGCGCAAAGCCCACAGCTGTGATTGAAACCGGCACCCATTATGAAGCTTGTTCGCAACGTCTAAGCCACAGACAGCAACTCTTGTTATTGTATCGAGTAGTATTACTATTGTAATCTTTATCAATTCCTGTACTGTGTTTTTTTTCCACTCACATCGGAGTCATGGTGTTTTTTTTTAGAAAAATGTAAAGAATAAAAGGGTGTTATAGAAAAACAGATGAGGTAGTCCTGAATGAAACAAATGTAAACTGTAAACTGATTAGAAGAATTAGACAGAGGCATTTAATTATTTTTTTTAATGGCAAGTTTAATTGGAAAAAAGAGCGCAGTGAAGGCAGAGAGATAATTATGTGATGGCTTAGCCATTTGGAAGGGACCTGGACAAGAACACTGACTTGATCTGAGATTTTAGATTATGTGAGATGGCAAAGCATGACAGATAATGATTATCAGCACAGTACATGATGATGATAACTGGATTTTTCTGTCCCCAAAATTTACTTATCAGAACTGGAAATGTAATATAAAATAGGTTTTCCTAAAATGTTTAATAATTATTAATTAATTTTGAATTTTTAAAAAGATTGGCTCTTCAAATAATTATCCTTCGAGTGTGGGTTCCAGGGCTCAATTTGGGAAAAGGGGGGGGGGGGGGGGGGGGAATCATTTGCTAGTCTGACAAGCTTGTCATAAAAGGTGACTTCTCCTTTCTTTACCAGCTGTAAGCTCTGGTCTAAAGTCCTGGCTGTTCATCTGTTTGGACTTCGGCTTTGTGCCAGGGCCTGAGTTTTGGCACCAAGGGAGTAAAAGATGACAAAATGGGAGCATTTCCTTCAAAGTCAGTGCATCAGCCTGCGAGGCGATGGAGTAATTGTCTGCATACAGATAAGCCAGATTTGTAAAATTGTATGCAAAATTCAAGCTGTAAAACAAGATCAAAGTCCAGAAGTGGTTGAACAACCAAAACTTTGAACCAAAGTTTACAGTTAATAAATGTGAATATGAAGAAGAAGAAATTATATCCTAAAGATGTGTTCCCCGTTAGCTAAGACCTTCAGACACCTCTTATTTTCGATAATCTGCCATGGACCTGATACTATTTAATAGTCACAATAAGGAACTTTTTAAAATTTATAATTATTAGAATCAAGAACACCCTTCAGAAAAAGAAAAAGAAGAATCCATTAAAAATGGTAAAAGTCATTTTACCAGAGCATGGACATAAACTGATACATGCTGTTGCATACATGCTGTTGGAGATTACAATTTGTTGGAAGCGTGATCACCCATGTCACTGGAGAAGGTACTTGATGATGATGATGATGATGATAATGGTGACTATGTAAGACAAAGTGGATGATACTTAGTGTTATCAAAATATAAATTAAAAAAAATTATATATTACATGCAGAGCTAAAAGCCAGATAAGTTTGTAAGTTTATTCATAATTATGACTACCTGCTTTGAAGTGTAAGATTCCTTGTCTAACAGTTGTTTTTCTGTTTTAACAGTGTTTGCTGTGACCATATTAGATGACTCTATACCAGAAGACAGTGAGGAATTTACAGTTCAGCTAGCAAACCCAACTGGAGGTTCTACACTGAGCACCTTGAGTTCCATAAGAATTATAATCCTGGCTAATGACAATGCTGCTGGTGTTTTATCCTTTGAGAAATCATCATTGCTAGTGAATGAAGGTAGAATTGTTACAAATTTGATGAGATCTTTGAATGTCTTGTGTTTTAACTCTTTGAGTCCCAAGGAACGCACCACGCACCTATTGATTACCACCCAGCGGTCCAATCGGCACGTAATGTGTACAAGTATTTTTTTCCCCCACTAACCAATATAAAATCCTGAACCAGCAGTTTTTAGTGGTCTTTCGTGTTCTTTGTGTCCAATAACACATGTGCTGATCATTAGGTTTCTTTGGAAATGTGGTTAAAAGCATAATTCCTTAACAATCCCTGGTCACTTTGTTGTATAACATGTGTATATTGCATGGCAGCTGAATTAGCTTAAATGTGTTACACTTGTGCCCCCTTGGGCCTCTGATGCTAAACCCCCTGGGACTGAAAGAGTAAAGGATTACAATGTTTGTGGGAATTTTCTTGTAAGAAACTTACACTCTTACTGAGGTTTTAAATAATCAAATTGGAACTGGCCTGAGGGTCTTTGGTTTGAATAGGCCCTTTAGGAGTGAGTAAACAGTGAGGAGGCGCAGATAGATCATTATGGTCTAAGGGGAATGGCGCTGCAAGGAATTACCAGGGGTTCTGGCCAATGCTCAACACTCAGGGGAAGGATGAGATGGATTGGTTATTGGTACCATCGAAATTGGAACTCTTCTCTTGCTGCTGAAGATGGGGACTGAGCACTTATGGGAGTGTCCTGAGGGCTGTGATATCGATTCCTAATTCAACATTCAACATTTAACATTGGTTCGAATAAACATCCAGTGGGATTTTCTTTAAAATTTACCTTGGCTCCCATGTCCACCCAGCCTTAAAGGGATGTCTGGTAATATCCTGGGTTAGTAAAGTGCTAGTTGGTCTATAAAACTATAGGTCTAGCATCATATACCTGATTCACTATTGGTAATAACAAGGGTCATCTACCTACTTTTTGAAACATTTAGAGTGGCCTTTCGTATGTGGAAAATAAATGTCTTAGAAATTGTCATTGTTGAAGGGTCTATGCTCTTTTGGTATATACAAGGAAGAAGAAGAAAGAAAACACACCCATTGTTTAGATTTGCCAATCTGTGGCCAGAAAGTTCTTTACAGAGGACCTACTTCCCTAAGATACATGTCTGCAGTTAGGTGTACCCAGTGTTTTTTTTTTTTTTTTCTGCTGCTCTGCACTTTTTAAGGCATCACTTTTTCAGCACTACTGTAAATAGATACTTTGTGGTGAGTACCGGCATCTTTTTTCTGACGCTTTGTATGAGTACCAGCATATTTTTTCTTTCAAGAAAAAAAAAAAAGCCCTGGATGTGCCACTTTAATATCAATGTGACTTTATAGAAGTTATTATTCACTACATGTTCTGTGGCTTAGGCATTGAGAATGCACTTTATAATGCTGGGGTAGCCGGGTTCAATCCCAGCTGCTGACGATTTGTATTGCATTGGTTTTGACAGTGGTTCAGCAAGCAATGGCAAACTACTGAACATAAAATGTGCCTAGAAAAACCACAACAGCCCCCCCCCCCCCCCCCCCCCCCCCTCCCCCAAAAATGCTGGGGTTGGTTCTACAATGTCCTGTAAAGGATCCACAACTAATATGTTGTGTTATTTTTCTGTACACTTTACTACAAGCTTTGTCAACGGAATATGATAATTGTGGAAACTATTACTGTGGTTTCATAAGTTTATAAAAAAAAATCATGTTGTGCTTTTTATATTTGCTTAGTGCTTTTTCAACCATTATCGTCTTTATTTCATGATAAATCAGTCTTCTTCTTCTTCTTCTTCAATCCTTCTGTCAGAAAACTTATATCAGGAGGCCGGTAGCCTTTACGAAAGCTATCGTGCAGTCCATATCCTCTCGTATACCATACAGCTTTGTCTTCATTGTGGTTGGAACAGGCCACAGTACATCTCTGTTGTCAGCATACAGTTGACAGTGTTGGAGCACATGCTCAGCACTTTCCGGTGCCATGCTGCAGGGACACGTCTCCGTGTTTCCTTCATCAAAATATTTGAACATATGTTGATGAAGTCTGTTGTGCCCAGTCCTTAGTCTGAATATAATAATCTTAACTTAATATAAATCAGTCTTCTTCTTCTTCTTCAATCCTTCTGTCAGAAAACTTATATCAGGAGGCCGGTAGCCTTTACGAAAGCTATCGTGCAGTCCATATCCTCTCGTATACCATACAGCTTTGTCTTCATTGTGGTTGGAACAGGCCACAGTACATCTCTGTTGTCAGCATACAGTTGACAGTGTTGGAGCACATGCTCAGCACTTTCCGGTGCCATGCTGCAGGGACACGTCTCCGTGTTTCCTTCATCAAAATATTTGAACATATGTTGATGAAGTCTGTTGTGCCCAGTCCTTAGTCTGAATATAATAATCTTAACTTAATATAAATCAGTCTTCTTCTTCTTCTTCAATCCTTCTGTCAGAAAACTTATATCAGGAGGCCGGTAGCCTTTACGAAAGCTATCGTGCAGTCCATATCCTCTCGTATACCATACAGCTTTGTCTTCATTGTGGTTGGAACAGGCCACAGTACGTCTCTGTTGTCAGCATACAGTTGACAGTGTTGGAGCACATGCTCAGCACTTTCCGGTGCCATGCTGCAGGGACACGTCTCCGTGTTTCCTTCATCAAAATATTTGAACATATGTTGATGAAGTCTGTTGTGCCCAGTCCTTAGTCTGAATATAATAATCTTAACTATATATTATACATTTAAAAAAAATGTATCATCAGGAGACAAGACAGATGTAAAGGTAAAGAGATTACTGCCAGCTCTTGGTAATGTCACAGTTACATGGTTGATTGAAGGTAAAAATGGTTTGAGGGCATCTCAAGGATTTGCTACCTACACTGGAACCTTGATGTTTCTGCAGGTAACTATTATAAATGTCATGGACTGTCTTGTTTTCAAGAATTATGTAAAATGTGTCTGCGAATCATAGTGTAAGAGTGATTAGATGCATGCCTTGTTACCCAAAGGTCTTGGGTTCAAATCCACATTTAAATAGATTTTTGTAAAAGGATCTTAACTCCCAAGTTGTCCAGACTTATAATGGGTACCAGAAAAATGTCCTGCAGAGTAAATAATTGATCCATTTGATTGATTCAAATGGATGTGTATGCAAAATTCAAGTGGCTGTTGACCACATCACCCATCCAGGGCTGTCTGTCTACAATAATATAGGTTTAGCACTATTGTTGAACAAATTGCATAAAAAGAGTCAGGAAAGAAAAGGTAACCGTTCTTTGTAGCTCTGAATTATTTTCCAGAAAGAAGCTTATTCTCTTTTAGTCTTAAATACTTGAGATGGTATTTCATCTTTGGAAAATAATGCCTCAAAATCGTTGCTTATTTTTTCTTAGTTTTGATGTAAGCTTCTTAACAGTAAATCAGTTTATTGATCCTTCTTCTTCATCTTCCTACTGCTTATGTTGTAAAGTGTCCCAGAGAGGAGTTAGATGTAGTTTCCTATCTTCTGCTAGTTGTGTAGCTTGTGTTAATCTTTATTGATGATGAATCTGAAAGAGTAATGATGATGATCATCTAAATATACTTATAAGGATTCAGTGAACCAGCCCTGAGATGTGGTGTCATACATCTGTTTAGGCAACAGTTGAGTGAACTTCTACTGTCATACCAAAGCAGCTTTATGTAGCTAACAAACTTACTAAAACGTCACATTGAAACGTTTACAAACTGGCATTTCATATGTTTATATGTTATAGTGGAACTGCCCCAGACTTTCTACCATCATAGTAAATCTGTTTATGAAGAAAAAGTCTGCAAATTTCAAAATAATTGAAGGAGAAGTTGAAGCTGAAGATTATAGATGCATTTGTCATACTCAGTCAGAGGATTGCAGAACATACTGATGATCACATATTATTAATTTAGTGTGGCTGTGTTCAGTCTTCTGTGATTTCACTGCATATTGTAAGTCTTTTGATTGGTTTAGGTTTTATGATTTCAAGACATAATTTGTGTTTGTGTTTATGCATGTGCGCATGAGAGAGAGAGAATGACTGTGTTTTGTATCACTGATGTTTGTACAGAATCTTTGACTCAATGTAACTGTTCTTTGATTGATTTAGTCAGGTGTGCCAACAAGTTTTTTTATTGTTTTTTCATTGGGGTGGGTACCCAGCCCTGGCCCACACATAAAAATATTTTAGGGAGCGCAACGTGCATGAACTACCAGGTTTATACCAGTGCCTGTGATTTTGGTGTTATGGTTTTGCACACATAATTTCAAGACCTATTTAGATATTTTTTTTGTTTTTGTTTTGTTTTGGTGAATTACAGATTTGCAAAGAAATTCTCTGAATCTTTGTGACTGTTCTTTAGGTATTTTTAGTGTTATAGATTTGCAAGCAGAATAGCTGAATCTGTGTAACTGTGCTTTAGTTGTTATTGGTGTTTCAGATTTGCAAGCAAAACTGCTAAATCTGTGTAACCGTTCTTTCTTTTTGGTGTTACAGAATCACAGCATGGTTGTTGAATCTGTGTATGTTGTGATTTAGGTGATTGTCCAACTAATGACAAGGTGTCTAGAAGTTGATGATATCCTGAGGCCCACTTGATTCACATACTAGGAAGACCGTTGGGACATGAGTAACATACTTTATTCCTCACGCCGTACAACAACAAAATGATATTAAAGGAAATGCCATTAACACTCTCGGTCACAGCATAAACACTCAAGTAATAGCCCATCAAATATTATAATAACAAGTCACTGCTCACACTAAGTAAACAGTCCCATGATGGAAATGTCAGTACAGGATAAGTATGTCTCTGAAGGATAAGCCGGCACAAAGTCCAATAGCCCCTATGAATCTCCACAAGTTTGAGCTGTTAACTTGGGACTTTATACATAACTAGCTATCTCTCAGCCGTTTCTGTTCATTTCATACCTCCCTGTTCATTACATGCAAATCATTTTTGCCACGCTGAACGGCTCGCAAACGCTCAGCACAGTTTTTGGGTACTA